ATATAATTGGATTTTGAAACTTTTCCATAAAACACAAATTAACAACTCTGTTGTCATTACAAATATTAAAATTAACAAAATTGATTTGAATAATATTTAAAAATAATATTAATAATAATATAATTTCAAACTTAATTATGCATTTATTTTGTCAATAAATCTTGTTTTGTAGTATATTTGTTGTGTATCTAAGGGCTCAATAAATTTATTATAATTTAATTTATCTTCGCTATAGTGATAACTAATTAAATTAATTAACCTATTATAATTTAATAAAAATAATATTTATTAAAAATATTTAATGATACATAAATAGTTATTTTTCTTTGATTATTTAGTTAGATTTTTTCTATTATTTCATGTTAACTGAAAACCACACCAATATACTCTCCTTTTCTTTCTTCAAAAATATTGTTTTGCAATTTTAGCAACCTAATTTTAATATTTAAAAATTCTCAAATATCAAGCAGATGTTTATTTAATAATTTTATTTTATCTTCATTTAATATTTAAATTATTAAAAAAATTTTTTTAGCCTCCCACTTAAATTACTGAATTATACGTTGTAAATATTTATGATAAGTGTTGACATATAATTAAGATTTTAACGGCACGGATATTAAACAAAAAAGTCAGATGTTTTTAGTAAATAATAATTAAATTATAAGTAATAATTTAAAAGAAAAAATTTTACATTTTAATTTTTTTCTAAATTTTAGAAAAAATTTTAATTTTCTTTTTTAATTTCAAGTAAATGTTGTTAACTGTCTCTTGGTTTTATACGGTATTTATGCGTTCTACTATCTATGTTTTTGGGTTTTGTTAGGGATCAACCAAGATCAAAATATGATTAAAATTTTGTCAGATTTTTAGGCAAAATTGAGTCAAAATATTAATTTGAAATTATTTGATTAGATTTTAGTAAAGTCAAAAATTGTTATAATCCTACTGGGATAGAAAATATAAAATAATTTTTCTTTTTCATAAATAAAAAATTAAAAATCTATCTGAAAATAAATATTTACCAGATCTGGTCACGGATACTGATCTTTGTATCCGTATCCGCATATCTACAGCGGATACAGACGGATAAAGGCAGATATCCGCAGGCATTTTGATATTATCCGTATCCATATCCGTATCCATGGGCAGGTCTGATATTTACATACATACATACCTATGTATTATAAAACGAAGCAATCAAAACAAATCCCTTTCTAAAAATTTTAAATTATTATTTAATGTTTAAGTTAAACAAGCATTTTTATCCGTTTATTTGACAGAAACAAATTTAAAAAATATTATGGATATAAAAACATTTGTTTTTAAAACAATAAATTTATTTACTGACACTATTGGACTTTTACTTTTTGGAAATGTTGTTTATTTAACTATAAAATATAAGTAAATTTTTTTATTTTAATAAATTAAATTTTTAATAAAATTAAAAATAAGATAAGGGTTGTTTTAAGCTTTTCTCTAAAAATGCCAAAAAAAAATTAAAGAAATACGAAAAATATCAAATATTGATTAAACATAAAATTATTGGAAAATTTTGAAAAGTATCGAAACGGAAATACATCCTAGAAGATTAAAATGATTTAAAATATATTCTGTTTACATAGCTTACATAAGATTTGTAAATTCCCTTAAAACTGGAATTGATATGTAGAATGCTTGGAATTTGTTAAAAAAATATGGATTTCGATAATTTTAGCAGACTTAATAACAGATAATAACAAATATTTAATAAATTAATAATATTAACAGAGATCTCCATACACTTTGCCACATTCTTCTTGGACTTTATTCTTTATCTCAAGCCTGCTCTAAAGTCATTCTGTTACCGTCCTACATACTGTAAGGCGGATATCATCCTAAAAACACGTGAAGAGCAATGTCGCTCTAGTTAACGGAAGTTTGCAGGAAGGTGCAAAGAATATTACAAACGGCCATTCCCAGAGAGTTATTAGCCGCTTATTATCTAAGTTTATTATCGCCACTAACTTATCCTTGGGAAAGCAATAAGGAAGTAGGCTGGTGCATATAAGCCCTAAAGGAATAGGCAAAGGTGGATCACTTCTTCATTCATTCAACAGAGTTGCCGGCCGGCCTATCCATCGAGTCATATAGGGAAGACGTCTCCCTATATTCTCCCACTGCGATTCACCTATTTCTATACTCTGCGGAGTTCACACATGATTGCAACATGCGCGTCTCTGCTAAAACATCAACTAATAAACGAGGCACTGGGGAACGGGACCAACCGCTTTACTATACTTTATATTCTGCAGAGCACAATTCCTACTTATATTTGTGTTTTAATTGCTCTAATACCTGAAACATTAATGATGGGCATTTTTACATTTATGGTAGCAATTGGAATTGATAGAATGCTTGGAATTTGTTTTCCTTTTTGGTTAGTTCTAAGTCGAGATTAAAACCAGGTTTAAACATTTCAAGACTACCCCAAAACATACAAGAGAGTTTTAGGTAAAGAGTATACATATACTCTGTTGCAGACTGTGATTACTAAGCAGAGGTGGGTCGGAATTCCAATTTCCGATTTCTGTTATCACTTGAAATTTTCTTTCCTTTATAACCACTCAAATCTGAGAATCTTAATCCCTCAAATCCAATCCACCGATATCCTAATTAATCTCTCGATGTCTCCCTTAAGGATCGTTATCTTACTTATATTCTTAAAAATATAATTTTAATTTTATTTAAAAGGTATATGCAAAAAAAGAGCAAACTTTATCGGATTTTATTAGTAGGCACACCATTTTCGTATCCTTTTTATTATTTATATTTGATGATTAAAGATTTGTCAAATAATAGGTTTAAATAAATTATTTCTAATGATTTTTAAAAAATATTTAAAGTCCTTCAAATTGTTTATTAAATTACAACGATAAAGTTACTACAATCACTCCTTTTGTTTGTGTTATTTCTACATTGTTTTGCTATTTGATTATTTTATTAAAAGTCATATTTGGAAAGGATCCGATAGGTAATTGATTTATTAAAATTCTAAGAAAATATGTTTAAACGGTTACGGTACTTTAGGGTCGGTTTCGGTTAACCGAAGAATTCGCTGAACCCGACAACACCAAATACTAGGAGACAAAGGCATTCACCAGTTGACATTTTATCTAGAATTAGTCCAGGACCTATATACCTACTTTTATTTAAAGGCAAATCTCTGCGTGAAGCAATTTATAAATCTTCAGCTACATTAATTTTTATTCAGAATTTTGGTTGGATGTGTTATCTTGGGGTTATCTTTTATATTACAAATTATATCAAAAACGTTGATCAAATATCACTATACTTTAACTTTGCAAATATTTTTTCTTCTTTAATTACTATTATTGAAGTTATTTCTCTTTTTATTACCAGGTATGTTTTGAAAAAAAAATTAATTAAATTTTTATATGTATAGCTAAAAATAAAACATCATTAATTACATAAATAAAACTCTGAATAATGATTACCCTCCATTGAAATAACACCACTAGTATACCTCCTTACATGAAATATAGGCGGCATGGTGTAATGGTTAACACATCAGTTCGCGCCCAGCCGCCGAATAACCCTTTGCACTAGCTAAAGGAGAGAAATAATTATAGCCCAGCTGCTTTACTATATGTATACCCGAGTATAGAACTATTGTATGTAGTATGTATAACTCTTTAATTTACATACAATAATTCTTAACTTTAATTTTTTTAAAATTAAAGTAGTTCACATCTTAATGCTTTGAAAATGGAATATGACTGGATTTTTAAACTTTTTCATAAAACACAAATTAACAACTCTGTTGTCATTACAAATATTAAAATTAACAAAATATATCAAAATAGTTTGAATAAAAATTGAAATTAAATATTTAAATGTATTTTAATATATTTTTAAAAAATTTTTATTATTATTATTTGTCTGATTTAAATTTAATAAAAAAAGAAAAGCAACAAATAATTATTCTGGTTTAAAAAAAATAATTTTTAATGGAATTCTAAATAAATAAAAGACTAGAATTAATTAAAATAAAAATATTTTTAAAGAAAAATAATAGTTAACATTTATTTTCATTAAAATTTAAAGAATAACAAGAAGTTAAACAATCCTGAATTGAAGGGTAAAAACATCTCTCAGGGATTTTATTGAAGAGAGAACAACGATGGAAAATATTTAAAATTGAATCTGAAAATAAATTTTAAAAATATTTTTTTCTAATTTAAATTTAAATTGAGATTAGAAAATTGGTTTAGCTAGGAATATTTTGGTTTAATTTTTAAAAAATTCTCGAATTTGTTTGAATCAAAAAATCCCTTAATTTAATCCCTATTGACGCTATAACAATTTCTCGAAAATAGTTAAAATTGAATCTGAAATAAATAAAAATATAATTTTTTAATTTAAATTTGAATTGAAATTAGAAAATTGGTTAAGTCAAGAATATTTTGGTTTAATTTTGAAAAAAAATTCTTAATCTGTTTGAACCAAAAAATTCCAGTGCTTAATCCCCAGTTACATTTCCCCATTTACTCTATAACAATTTCCTATTCACAATATTCATACCCTCCCTTAAATATAATCTCGATTAATTATCAAATATAACGACAAGTTAGTTGAAATTGTTAGGTATTGGGTTAAGTTACTACATAAATCGTTTAAAAACTCAAAAAGGGGGAGCAGGCCAACGTAGAACTTCATTCAAAATAGTCAAATCCGGGACGCCTTGGTATGGTTCGATGCATCTCGATGAGCTGAATCGAAACATATTAGGGCGTCCCGGATTCGACCATTTTGAACGAAGTTATATGTAGCTCTGCGGTACGTTGGGGTGTACCCTTCAAAATGTTATCAAAAAATTTGTTCCAAAAAATTTTGTTTTAAAAATAATTAATTTCAAATATTTTTAACTAATTATTTCCACTATTTAAAATTAAATAATTAAAAAATACAAAGGATTCCTAAAACTTAAAATATCTAAATTATTTTTCCTTCAAATTTAAAACACCTGAAAAAGCAGCAAATTTAATTAAAATATTTAATCTTTCAGTATCCAAATAAATTTCAATAAGAGAATCAATTCCAGCCGCATCAATATGCGAAATAACAGAACAATCCAAAATTAAAATTCCTTTAATTGTTAATTGTTTTAATGAAAGGGAGGAGGAAGAAGGTGTTGAATTATTTGAATTAATATTTCCAATATTGTTAAGTTCCAAATCTTTTGAAATTGATTTCTAAAAAATTATTTTAATAAAATTTTTCAGAAATTTAAAGTTATCACTAATAGGGTTGGGGGCCCGGTTTCGGTTCGGTTCGAAAGATCGAACCGGGTCTCAAATTTTGGCCCGAAAAAGACTCGACCGATGGCCCGAAAAATTGAGGCCCGAACAAGATTCGAACGGCCCTGTTCGATAAAAATGGGGCCCAGAAAATGACTCGAACGTCGGCCCGGTTCGAAAAATCCAACACTAACTAACAAGCTACATTTTTATACTATTTATGCTACCAAAATTCACCTTTTCCTCTCCTGTATCGGAAAATTTATTCAAAACTTTAACATTATCAAAATTTCCAATCGAAGAGGAATTTCTTAAAATTTTTTGACAAATTTCAGCTACAGAATCTACTAATTTTGAAGCATTTCCAAAATGTAAAGGGGACTCAAATCTCCAAATCTGAGCATTAATTTGAATTCCTGGATCACTCAAAGCTAAAATTTGGATAAATATTTATTAAAATTTTAAGAGAGAAGATATAACCATTATATAAATTTAATGGACGAAAAACTCCTTCAGCTTTGTTATCTCCACCAATTCTTGAAAATTTTGGCCTAGAAAGAAATAAATATATTATTTGATTTTGGAGGAGGCTTGGGTGAAATTCTGGATCTTGAAGGATTAGGTATGATCTATAATCATATTAGGTATAATCTATAATACTTAAGAAGAAACGAAAATAGTAACTACCATATAACCTGTATTAATTGCCCTCTCTCAAATAATTACCTCACTTCTATTAATTACCCCCTCCAGCGATAGATTGAAATAATAATTACCCCAAAAAAAGCCCTAAAACACGTTCAAATTTGAAACTTCGTATAAATACCTCACTCGATTAATTACTCCCTACAGCGGAAGCTCGAAATAATAATTACCCAGGGTAGTTATTAAAGGAAATACGGTAGTTAGATACTTCAAATTAAATATTTTCATTTAATAAATAATTTATTTTAAAAATAAATAACCATTGTTCTTTAAGTATAATAGACAAAATAGAGAAAAACAAAGAAATAATAAGTCCAAAAGTAATATTAAGAAATGCTGTTGTTGTAAATGCAACTATCCAAATTAACTGAAAAAATTTAATTTATTCCAGTTAAATACCCAATAATTTACAAAATCAAATAAATTAATCTTCCACAATTTTGGTAATTCTTTAAATTGAAGAAAAAGGGGTTTAAGACTAACTACAACAATACAACCAAGTACAGCAATTGGAAGAGGTTCAAGTAAAGGCCCAATCCAAAGAATAACTACAAGGAGTAAAGCGCTAGAAAAAAGTGCATGAAGCTGGAAAATGAGGGGAGAATAAAAAAATTATTGAAGTTTTACTTGTGTTTTAGCTCCTGTAATTTCACATAAAGCCGATCTAGAGAGTGAAGCACCAAAAGGAAATACGGGAAATAAAGAAGAGATTAGTGAACACATACTTAGAGCATACAATTCTTGATTAGCATTTAATTTATATTTATGTTTTTTGGCAAAAGTTTTGCCAAGAGAGAAGAGGAAAGCATAACAAATTATTGAAATACTTAGAGAATCTAGCCAAATATGTCGTAAAAGTGTAAGACGAGGAATTGAATAATTTGGCATCCTTTAAAAATAAATTTTTGGTTATAAGGTAAGGGTTGGACATGTCGCGAAACGCGAAATTTCTTTAAATTAAAATTTTATTTTTAATTTCATTTTATTTTTGTTTCCTTTATCTAAATACATAATCTATAATTTTTCCCATACATTCTTTGTTTTCTACACATACATTAATGTTTGGCCTTACACCTATAAAATTAGTTTTGTTTTTCTTCTTCCCGGTCTTCGCTTCACTTTTAACTTTACTAATTGTATTCATCAGCTTACTACTTTATACTTCCTTTGCTTTACATTAGCAATTTTTCGCCTGCCTTACTTTAATATTTTTATATTTGTGAAAGAAATAAAACTTTGATTGAAAAAGACGTTATTCGGTTTTAATATTAGAGAAATCCGACCAATTTCTCTACAGTCTTACCCAGATTAGAGAAGAATAATCCCACAAGTTCTCTACAGACATAACAGGTTATTAACTTTAATTAAGGAGGTTGTTTATTGTTTAGGCATATTGTTTAGTTAATGCTGTATTGGTACTTGTGTAGTTCCCACCCCCCCCCCATAAGCCCCGCCCATTGTCTTAACAAGTACCCTGTTATTTGCTCAACAATTCTAACTCAATAATTTTCAGTTTTAGGTCTCGGGTAACCATTTATGTCCCACCTTAGTTGATGCATAAAAGGGTTGGCTCGTTTATCGTTTATGTCGTTTATTTAATGTCCGTTTATTGTATAGTTTAAGTACGCCAAACCCCCATTTATGTACAATACACAATCATCTAACTAAGCTTGTCCAACCCTGATTAAAATCTCACCCTTGGGGTACATTCTCAACAATTCTAACTCCATAATTCTTTTTCAACCCAACAGTTGCTGAAAGAATTATTGCAGCAATTACCTAAAAAATAATTTTAGAAAAAAATTCATTTAAGAAACCAAAAAAAGTTCCAAAGGTAAAGGTATTTTGAAACGTTTTCTAAATATTGGATTAATCCAGTCACGTCCAATACTTAAAAAAATAAGACCAAAAATAGAAATACAAACAGTAAATATATTAATATTTGAAGCTGAAATAAACAGATCTTTCCACATCTGTGAAAAACACATATAAATATACACAATTTAATATTAGACTCACAAATAAAACTAATCCAGGGCCTCCATAACTTTTAACTTTAACACCAATTAATTTATCCAATTGTGATGTTAATACGTGTACAGCGGCACCAGTAGTGAAACCAGAAATAAGAGAATCAGAAATGTAATTAGTTATAAAGGATAAACGAAATATAGCCATTAATATCTTTAAAAAAACAAAATTATCCCAAAATTATACTTAAAAGGTTTATACTTAATTATACTTAAAATAATTAAGTACTTGAAGGTTTTAGTGGACTTCGAATACCACTTTTCTCCTTAATTAGCTCAAGTTCCCCTCAATCCTTATATCCCCATAATTCCTCTTTTACTTTAATCATCGATATACAGTTTATTCACTTCACTCTCTTAATACTGAGGGATACTTTTTTATTTTTCCCCAAAATTTTTTAGGTGGGGCTGTATTAGAGTGTGGGGCTCTAATTGAGGGTGGGGCTCTAATATAGGAAATACGGTATTTAAGTACTTCCTTTCATCATAATAAAAAATACAAAATTTTATTTAAAATTCTGGAGATTTTTTAATATCTTCAATTTAAATTTGTTCAAACACCTGAAATATGCCGGCCCCAAAAGTTAAAGCACTTGTTAAAACTAAAGGTGTTAGGGGTTCTCCTTCAATAATTAAAGTATTTGTATTGTTATTATTTCCATTTTCTGGTATTAATTGTGAACGTAAATTCCCAACCATCATACTAGCCACAGCAAAAGTACCTCAACAAAAATTTATTCTAATTTTAAAAATTCAAGAAGATACCAATAGAAACATGTGGGGAAGTACCAAAAAACATATAAAAAAAGGCAGGAAAAAAGCAGGAATATAATCCATATACTGGGGGTACTTTAGCTAATGTTGCATATGCCATACCTAATTAATATTGTTGAGAGAGAGAGAATGTTTTTTAAATAAAATTTTAACAAAAATTAAAGATCAAGTAATCCACACCCTGTGGGACAACCATAATTCCAACAGTTAATCCGGTAATTAAATCACATTGTAAATATTGCCTCCATTTATAGCTAGGTAACCAACCAAAGATTGGTAAAAGATTAATAAATACTTTTTTTACATTTTCTTTTTTAAAACATCCGCTTGGAGTTAAATTTTGTAAAAAAGGGTCTAATTTTGAATTTAATTGTTTTTGTTGTGTATTTCTGCTGGATCTAGTTATATGGCCATATTTTTCTTCAAATTCAGCCTATCAAATAAATAAAAATTAACGAATTGAGGTAGAAAAACTTAAATTGGTGAATAGGAATGGTTACTTTGAATTAGGGATAGACTCCGATCCTTCGGGGTTTGGGGGCGTCTTTCGGTTTATAAAATGTTGGGGCTGGGTTTACAAAATCATTTGGGGTCGGGATTCCAACTGGTCCAAGTTTATGATACTTTGCCCATGGTTGATGTGATTGTGTAAGGGTTGGAGCTCAATAACGAGGTTATTCGGCTTTCCATTTTACAATTAATTTTAACAAAATATTTCTAAAAATTTAATATAAAATAAATTTTTGCGATATGTACATGATAGTGATGCTTGGGTATCCTGATCCCGCTCCCAAGTCATTTCCCGACCGACTCCCGTTTCCTGATTCCCGAGTTTTTCTTCTCCCGAGCCTTACTAGTATGTAGTACATAATATCACCTGGTTCATTATTTTTCAAAGTCTGTTTTCATAGAAAAATGTTGATAAGAACACAATAAATACGTAAAATAAAAATATTTTTTAAATAAAATTTTAGAAAATAATTTAATTGTAATTCGTTAAATACCCATTTTTATGTTTTTTTAATTTTAAAAAAGAATTCTTCAACCTTTTAATCTTTTACATTTAAAGAATTAAAGTTTTATTTCAATTAAATTTTAAAGGGAGTTTTACTCATCATTAAAATTAAATTGACGAAAAAAAGAAGAATTTATAAATTAAATTGCGTGATGAAAGGTAGAGGAAAGGGAGGGGGAGAGATTTATTTGACAAAAATAAAATAAATTGAGAATTAAAAGAGGAAAAGAATATTTTTTTGTTTAAAAAAAGAGGACGAGAACCATCGATTTTAATAAAAAAAATTGCTAAGGCAACTTAAAGCAAATCTATTTTTGTTTGTTAAAGCTTCTTCTTTTACTTAATATGTAGCTAATTATTATATTTAATGGTGGGTGGTTAAATTTATTTTTAAATAAATTCACTTTTTTTAATTTTGTTATTAAAGGGTTTGGAGAAGGAAAGGGGGGAATTAAGGAAACGAAATTTTAAAGAGACTTACCTCTGTTTTTTTTAAATATCCTGTTTTTTTTTAATTTTCGAGTAAAATATTTTCTAATCTAAAGAAAGTGAACGTTAATCTTGCTTGGGTCAAAAATTCAAATTTTGGCAGCTAAAAATCCATAACATTTTGTAGGGGGTACTCAAATTAAAATTTTTTAGAAAATAGGGGTGGACGTACATAGCAGGGCTGGGCCTATTTCGCACTTTCGCGTTTCGCATCTTTCGCATTCTCGCATTTTTCAGCGCGAAAAATTTCGCTTTTTATTTTTAGATTTCGCCCAGCACTGGTACATAGTATAAATATTTTTTGCTTCGCAGTGTATTTTCCTAATAAAAACATGAATCTGACTAAATCTGATTTAAAAAATAAATCTGAAAAAAATAAAATATTTAAAAAGATACTAAGTAAAATATGTTTTTTTATTATTCTTTTTTAATAAAAATAATTGTTTTAATTTTATAGTTTATGTTTAAAATAAATATGTATATTTATTTTTTAAAAACATTTAAAAAATTTTTTTATTAAATAAAAATAATTAAATAAACCACTTAAGAAGATAAGAAAAAAATAATAGAATTTTTATTTTATGATTGAAGAGTCAACAAAAAATAAAAACAAAAAAAGACAAAAAAAGGGATGTTTGATAATAATTTTTAACAAATAATTTTTATAAAAATTAATTCTTTAATTAAAATTTAAAAATAAATTTTTAAATAAAAATGCAATATTAATGCTTTATTGCATCATAAGAATTTTTTGTTTCTTTTAAAAATAAATAAATTTAAATATAAAAAAAGTAAAATTTTATCAAATTAATTTGAATTTCTAAATTCTTTTAAAAAGTCAGATGCAGAGTATGAAAAAAAAACATATTATTTTTAATTTGAAATAAAACAAAAAAGAAATCTACAAAAATTCCCAATTGTCGGAACAACAAAATGTAAAAAAATTAAATTAAAAACCAAACATAAGTATTAACAATCTGCAGTAGGTAAATCACAAAAATAGTTTTAATCATATGTATTCCTGAGGAATAAAATTTACTGCCCAAATCACTCACTGCCTAATTCACCTTCCTGCCTACGTCATGCCGAAATCACCAGCAGTGCTGGGTATGGCTCCGGCGGAGCCGGAGCTAAGATTTTGAAGACCCCGGAGCTGGAGCCAACAAATGGAAAATACCCAGCCAGCACTGATCACCAGACACGTTAAAAATTATAACTCTCCCCACTGTAATCTAAATTTTTAAACAATTGGCACTCTAGTGGCACTCTTATTGGGGGCTCTCTAGTGGCAGCACTCTAATGCCCCGTCCTGGTACTCAACGGCCCGTTCCACGCCATATTTTTGGCAAGTTTTGTCCAATGGACTGATATTTATTTGTTTATTTTTTTAATTCTATCAAACTAATTTTGGTTTATTTTAATTAAAATATTTTCTATCAACATTTTCTTTTAAAAATGAGTGGAAAACAGCCTCCAAAACAAAGTTTTCACCCAATAAAAAATGAAATAATTGAAAGGTTTGTTTCTTCTTAATTTAAAAAATTTATTTTTTAGTGAACCAATTCCTGGTACTTCAACTACAAATTTACAAAATTTGACAGACTTGAGAATTCGAAATTCTTTAAATACAATTTTAATTCAGCCAAATAATCAAGACGTTTTGGCTAGTTCCCAAATGAGACCTCCAAAATCAGGTTAATTAAATAATTTATTTTTTTGTCTAATTTTGAGGAATATTTTTGATAATTGAGTTTGTAATTAGTTTTACAATTTTAGGTACTTTATTAATATCCCACCCAACATACCTCTATTTAAGTCTCACAATCGGTTTAATTTTTTTACTATTCATTATTCTCCCCCCCCCCCCCCCCCCATTTTAAGTTTAGAAGGCCTCCTTTCTAATTTTTCTCAAATAGGGATGGGGGTGTTAGAGAACCCAATTTTAATATTTTGAGCTAAATAAATTAATGTAAGCTAGAAATAGGGTAATTCTGCTCGGAATTTAATTTTAAATTTCTCCTTCAAATGTCTCAATCTTTAAATAAATTAATTTTTCCTTTTTTAGATTTGACTAATTTTTGGTGTTTGGTTTATTATTATGAAATGAATGAACGTGTATGTTTTTAATTGTTTTATTTTTTTGTATATTTTTTAAGGTTGGGGAAGTTTTCAAGTCTGAATGGAAACAGGAACTGAATGAATATCCACAGTTTGTTTAAAAAAAATTTTTTTTTAATTTTTAAAAGCCAAAAAGTTGTCGAAAACCCCGATGGTTTTCAGATTTTTGGTGTTTTCGACCACAACTCCCTAAATACCGAACCAAAAATTCTCAAATTTTGGGGTCTTAAAAAACACTCGAATGAATAAATACGCAAAATTTCAAAGCTTTTGAACATCTACGGAAAATTCTATAACCATTTTTATGAAACGAATTTTTTGTGAAACGACCTAGTAAATAATCCCCCTTTTTTATTTTTGACCAGAAAATATTTTTTTATAATTTTAGGCTTATAATTGACGGAGGTGTTTGTGCTTCAGCAGAAAATACTCGTTTTTGTTTGGGTAAGTATTTTTTTAATTAAATTTTTAAATTTATTTTTTAGGTGTTATTGGGAATATAAACAGAAATCCATTTGTTAGTAAGTAAAAATTAATTTTTTTTTAAATAATTTTTAATTATAGCAAAAGTTGGCCGTTCAATAGGAAAAGGGATTCGATTAAATCAAAAAGATGAAAATATTTATTTGGAGTCCCTTAGCGATTCTGCTGTTTTTGTTCGTATGTTTTTTTTTTCTTTAAAAATTTTTCTGAAAAAATATTTCTAAAATTTATTTCGCTAATCATTCGAATTTTTTCGTCCTTTGTATTCGATAATTTTTTTTTCAAAAATTTTAGAATGCCCTCTTTTTGCACGTAAAAATGGTGATGAATTAGCTACTGTTTACAGACTCAAAGCAAGTGATGCTTCTACCTCTTCCTCTAATGGATCGAGTATTTTCTTTTAATTATTTACTAAGAATTTTTGATTATCTTTAACCTCAGATGTGAAACTTTTTTTAAGAAATTTTGCGGAAATTGGATTCTTACCTCGATCTTAGCTGTCTCCTTGATTTAAAAATTTTTCCCTAACTTTTTCTATTTGCTATTTAAAATCTGAATAATTTAAAAATAAATTTAATTTCCTCTTTTTTTCAGAACCATTTTGCCTTTTTGACATGAAAATGTTTGACACTTTATTAACTGAGGCTCGTTTACTTGGTTATAATGCTTTGTATATGTTACAGGTTTTTTAATTAAATTTTAATTAATTTAATTATTTACATAGATTTATTGCCTTTGTAGAATTAGTTTTGTTAAAGGTTCTGATTTTCTTTAAATAATTTTTTAAATTTTAATTTTAGGTTGGGGCCAGGAATATAGACGACAAACAATTAGTTTGTTTTTTTAATTTTTTATGATAGAATTATTTTTGATTGGAGTATAAATAAAGACTGGGCTTGAGATTCGGTCGGATTCTAGAATTTTTATTTCGATTTTTAAAAGGAATCTCATATTGGTTCTTCGGATTTTTTCGGTCAAATCCTCTTAAAGGGCAAATTAATTCTCCTATTTTTTAAAATTTTCCAATATTTTTCTAAATTCCTATCTAACACGGAGAGGTTGCGAGGTGTCCGACCTAAAAACGGTCGACCTCTCCGTGTAAATATAATATACCCACTCTCGCAAAATACAACTCAAAAAAACTAAAAATATATTCTAATTAATTTTTAGCCTCTTGTCCAATGTGGATTGAAGTTCAATTCCCTCGACCTCTCCAAATTTTAGATGAAGTGCTAATGGAAAATGCTGACGAAATTGGTGGGGAAGAGGTTCACAGTTTCTCTTAAATTTTATTTTGGATTAAAAAATTAAAAACAAATCACTTTATTTTTAAATTTAAATATTTAATTAAAATAAATATTTTTATTGAAATTAAAATTTAAATAATTTTTTTATTTTATTAAAATAAATTAAAAACACAAAAAAATATTTAGGTACTTATCGTTTATGCGCCCACAAACTGAATTCCATTCGAAATTGCTTGACTATAACTTTTTTGAGCTTGATCCAATTCAAATAAATCTTATATCATTCGAAAGCCCTCTATAAGCAGTACCTTTTTCCATAGGACAGATCAAGTCTGATCACTCATTTAAAAGTTATAACACAATAAGTCCAGTTATTTGGCGTTTTTCAGATTTATCGGTTTATAACTTTTTAGCGAGTGATCAGAGTTGATACATTAAGTTGGAAAAAAATTCCTCTTATCGAGGGCTTTCGAATGATATAAGATTTATTTGAATTGGATCAAACATCAAGAAGCACTTAGTTTGTGGGCTTATAACCGATAAGTACCAATAATCAAAATTATAAAAAAGAATCTTCAGAACTTGAATATAAAAATTCTTCCTCTTTTGTTTGCCTCCTTTGTACAATACACGAATATATAATTAATCCAATAAAGGCAATAAATAAACTAAATAAAAATACAAAAGGTAATAAAATACCATAAAAATCGTTGATATTATTAATTTGTTGATAAACCATTGGCAAAATTAATTCTGAAAAAATTGAGAGAGTATTTTTTGAGGACCCAAAAACATTTAAAATAGGGTTGCCGGCCCGGTCCAAAAGATCGTGTCGGGCATCGAATTTTGGCCCGAAAAAGACTCCATGCCCAACTCGATAAAAATGAGGCCCGAAAAAAATTACTTGAACGTCGGCTCGACTCGAAAACGGCAACCCTAAATTAAAATAAAATACCTTAACAAATTGTCTCCATTAATTGAAGTTTATTTAGAAAATCAATTAAAATATTATTTAAGGAAAGTGAGGGTGAAAAGTTTAAGGAAAGAGAATATAAAATTGAACTTAAAATTAAGTTCTCGTTAAGTTAAAAAAATATTTTTTAAGGAAGTAAAGAATTACTAAAACTTTTCTTTTTCATCAAATAAAGGGAAAAAAGGAAGGGAAAACTTTTTAATTATTTTTTACTCTAAATTTTTACATTCGCCGAATTAAATTTTGTTTATAGTACACGTAAGAGGTTTAAGTCAATTTATTTTTATAGTTCCTCCCTCTAAGATAATAAATCATTAGATTAATTTTTTGAATTTATCAAATTAATAAAATTTAAAATATTTTTATATATTTGGAGATTGTTTTGATTTAAATCCTTGTAGAGAACCCTTTCCGAACGTATGTATTCTGTGTCAACGAAAATCAGAGTCTGTCCTAATTCTATAAAATCGGAATGGTGTTTTGTATCGCAGAATCCTTGTTGGAAATCAGGAATGAGCTATAGTAATGATATAATAATAATAATTATTAATAATAATAGTAATACATAACTATATCATCTGAGCTATAGCCAATCCAAATAAACTCTTTGGACAACTAGCCGAATAACTCAGAAACCCTTTACCAAGGTAATTATTAAATTAGAAGGTTATTTAAAACACATCTAAAATAAATTTCCGAAACAAACAAGATTATATTCAATTAAATTTAGTATTAGATAGAAAAAATAAACATAATTAATTATATGTAAAAGCTTCCAAATAATTATTAATTAATCGAGAAAATTATTTAAATATATTTCTTTTTAATATTTTTTGTAAACAAAAGTTCCCGTTCCAAAAGAACATTGGGAAGTTGAATTAGATGGATGTCTGCCATTACTTCCAGAGAAAGCACTACCATTACCAAGTTCAGGAATACTTGAATATGAGTCTGGGGTTAGTGCTGAATTCTGAAAAGGATAATAATTTTAGGGAAAATTTGTTTCAAAGGAAAAAATTTTTTTTCGAGTATATAGTATAGAATAGAGAGCGGCTGGGAGAGCGAGCTGGACCTGGACCAAGGCCTGAGTTTTTCCTGTACCCTGAGTCCAGGCCCAGGCATTATTTGACCTTCCTGCGTTTTTCCTGGACTACAGGCCCATGACCAGGTCAATAAATCAAACCCAGGAACAGGCCCAGGCTTTTCAAAAATCTCGATCTCTGTTATCGAGATTTTAATTATTTTTTATTTATATAAATTATGCCTGTAACCATCCAGGAACATAAGCACGTAAAGAAACACTTCCTTCTTTTTCATTATAATTCCAATTAGAAGCAAGTTGCATTAAACAGAACCCAAAGGAAATTGAAGCAAAAAACAATAACAACAAACAACTCCAAGCATTTTCTAAAGGTATTCTATCTCTTCGACAATTTTCTTCAGCTAAAGAAATTCGTTCATTAGCAAAATCTTTCAAAAAATCTGTCAGAATTTCTGATTGTTCTTCCTTTGAAAAAACAGAATTTATATGTTCATTTATAGCCTTTTCTTGTCTCATTTTTTGTTCCATAACACAAACAGCATTGTGGCTATGTGAATGAATTAAAAATGTAGCAGATAATGTTATCGTTATTGGAGAACAAATTAATAGAGTTAATCCTGTCCCTATAAGTAAACGACGAACACGTTTGGCACGATTATTTAAACGTTTAGTTGATAGATGCTCCATTGGACTATATCGATGTAAACGTTGATTTATTCCTTTATTAAGAGAATATTTTTGTTGGAATTAACTATAAACAAACCAATTAAAATGCCCAAAAGGGATAATAACATTGAACATAAAAATGTAAGTAATAAAATTAGGAGAACTAAAAGTGTCCAGCCTGACAAGAAAATTGGTGAAATTAATGAATGGAATTGATATCCAAGTTCTCTGATTACTTCAAACTATAATGAAATTTAAAATTATTTTTTGTAAAAAGGATTAAAAAACGAGCAAATGGAGATAATTCTCCATGCTAGAGTTGGGTTGAAACAATAATTCCCCACCCCCAGATACCCTACTGTACGTTCAAATGCCAAAACTCGAATAATTCCCCTCTCTCGAATAATTCCCCATCCCACGTATGGGTTGAAATATTAATTTCCCAGGGGTTCAAAGGCCAAGCCAAGTTCAAAGGCCTATAGTCAATAAAAGGACACCTTTTTAAGTGTTTGTCCACCCCCAGGTTCTCCTCCAATTTCTCTTTGTTCTCGTTCGGATACTTGTGTAGATAATCCATTAGCTGCTAATTCCCCCTCTTCTTCCCCAAATACATCCAAAGCTAATTCTTCTGTTAACAAATTTTCTCCCCCCTTTTTATTTATTTGTTGTTGTTCCCCCAAAATAGTTGATTGCATTGCTAAAAGTTCAACCATTGTAGAGGCAAATAAAATACACCCAAATAATAATAAAAGCCATAAAGGGATATGAGCGAATAATAGGCAACGAAAGTTTGTTTTGTGCCCCTCTTGTCGTCTTTGATTAATATTGCTACTATTTAATCCAGCTACAGAGAATGAAGCTTTCTACAGGGAAAAGAAAGATTTTTAATTAAATTTTAGGAAAATAATTTTTGTAGTAAAAGAGAGGTGGGTCGGAATTCCGATTTCCGACTTCCGTCGTCTATTTCCCTCCGATTTCCGAAAAAAATTTGATTTACGATTTCCGACTTTTGAGCAAGTTTCGATTTCCGGCTCTTCCGATTTCCGACACGTCTGTTCCGATCCACCTCTGTGTTAAAAGAAATGTTTTTCTCATTAAATTAAAATTTTGAAGATGTTGATGGTTATTCAGAAGGATTTCCTTCAACTTTCTTAATTCCAATTTTACTTTTTTAAATTCCAAAATATTTAAAGTTTGTTTAAGAAGAACTTGTATCTTTCCCTTTACTTTGTCTTTCTCCTATATATCCATTTATTTAAATACCTCATCCAATTTTTGTGTTTGTGTAGTATCAAAAAAGCGACTAAAACGAATACGTGCTAACATTGTAAATAATAAAAGCATGCTTAATACTGTGATAATTAGAAGAATAAGTAAAGTGGACAACAAGTTTGGCTGTGAAGGTAAATACAAATCGAGGAATGTTGGCGATAATAATCCAACAATATTTTGCTTTAAAAATTTTTTGTTTCGAGGATATTTAGGGTATTTATTTACCTTATTTTCAATAGAAAGATGAAGTAATTGTTCATCTCTTAATGGTTGTATTGGAATAAGCTTTTCCTGAATAGGCAAAGCTAAGGCTGAGTGCCACCAATTTAAAAGCATTTTTATGGAAAATTTAAATTTATGAATTAAATTAAATTTTTAATAAAGAATTCTAAAATTAGAAAGATTAATTAATTAATTGGTAATAGATTGGAAGATTGTATAAAAATTAAATATTAAAGGGATGTGAATATTTCACTCATATGTACTACCGTATTTCCCCCTGAATGCCCGGGCATTCTATTTGTCAATCACCTTTCAAAGGGGCAATCTATTAGAGTGGGCATCACAAAGGAGGGGGGAGGAGAGTTTCGAGTTCCTTTAAGCTTCTACTTGTGTAGCTATTCCAGAGACTCAGAAACTTGATCCATTCGAAGTTAAAAATTTTACTTGAGAAAAATATTTATGTAGGTTGAAAATATTTTACTAAAACAAAAGAAAATATATTTTATTATTGACTAAAATTCTGTATATGAAAGGAAGATGAAACAAAGAATTTGGGTCAACATGCCAATAAACAACAGAACAGAAGGAGGAAATTATTTAGAAACTGACAAGGTGAAGAGGAAGAAATTGCATAAAATGAAGAAAAAATATATTTTTGTTTTGCTATGGATATATTGGATAAATTAGAAGAAAATATTGCGCAAGTCAGTGGTATTGGGGCGTAAAAAGGAGGGGAAGATGAGCAGAAGAAGATTGAAAATAAATGTAGAAGATAAGAGTAAAAGAAGAATTTTAGTTAATTTTAGTATCTGATTATGGGGAATTAATTGGTTAAAGAATAAATTTTGTATATTTAAAGATTACCACAAATAAAAATTGAAGTTTAATTAGTAAATTTATTTTTGATTAAAAAATATTTGAAGAAGGAGAAAGAGGAGGGGAAGGGGGGAGAGAGAGGGATAAATGGAAATTTAAAAATCCAGTATATTTAAAAAGGTTTGTATGTATAAAAAGATCAACGATTAATTGAATGACTAATGACCAAAATAGAAATTGAAATGAGTAATTAATTTGAGGATTTACAGCGAAGAAAATTGAGATTGAATAAGTGTTTATGTCTTCAGTCGAAAAAAGGCCGGATTTCCGGAAATTTTACCGGATCCGGATATCCGAAGATTTCCAACTAAACTTAATTACTAACCTAATTTTTATATTTAATTTTTACTAAAAAAAATTTTTTTTGAAATTATTATAAGCAAAAAAACTTGATGAAATTAATTTAAAAAAAGAAAGAAAAGTAATCTTAAAACTTGACGCACAAAAAATGAAGGAATGGCGAAAAGTAGAAGAATTATGGGAAAAATAAAGTAGAAGCGATCATGCGCAAGGATAACGCCCAAAGGCATAAATTTAAGAATTTGGTAGGTTAGATATATTTCTCTCTTTTTCTTTAATTTTGTTGCGCAAACAAACCGCCAAAGGGAAAATAATTTAGAAAAATACAAAAATATTTCTCTTTTATTTAACAGTTGACCATTGCAAAATTAACGGAGAATTCGTGGGAATAAATAAATATATTTTGATTAAAATATTGTTTTCTTGAAATATAAAATGTTGGAGAAAATAATGATAAAGATAGAAAAATAATGAAAGTTTATATTATCCAGTAAAACTAAATTAAATTAAAGTATAATAAATCAATCCGATTTATTATCCCTCTAAATGCCTCTTGATCCCTCAATATCATGATCAAATTCCGCAATTCTACTAACTATTAGGACAGAAATGTACGGGAAATCTCAATTTTTTGTAACGGAAATCTCAAATGAAATTTGAATGGCCTCTCCAATAGAATAGCCCTTTTTAGGATTATTGAAAAATAGAATGGCGGCCATTCTATTAGAATAAATACGGTGATTACTCACATAAAAGCAAATACAGAAAATGATCAAGATAGACCTTTATTGTAAATATACATTAACCTAAAAATTTGTAATCATAAAATGTTAGCTAATAGGAGATAAGCCTTGAAAATATGCTTCCTGATAGTCTTGGACTTTAATTTAGATGGGTATGAAGTAAGATCAAATACTATTTCTGTTTTCTAAAACGTTAAAACGAGCTTATTTTTTGAGTAAATTTTTTTTGATCTTTAGGGATTTCAATTTATTTTTCTTTTATTTTTTGTTAATCTTAAAATGTCAGAAAGCAGCTGGATGAAAATGGAAAATTAAAGAAAAACGCCGGAAAATCTGGCGGGAGAAATGAAGGATATAAATAAATTGAATACTGGAAAAGGATTTTTGGTGAAAAATAAAAAATTTTTGGTGAAATTGAGGAGAGAAAGTTGGGTAGAAATGAAAAAAAAACAGGAAAAATATAGTTTATATTTTAATGGAAAATGACAAAAATAAATTTTATAATTGTTTAGGTCAACGCTAAATGCCCTCAACTCAACTTTTTCTTTTTAAGATTTCACTTTTCTTGATCGTTGCTATTTAAAAATAAATAAATTTTATTTAAAAAGATGATTGATAGAAATAATTTAAAATGGTAGAAAATATATTAGGTTGATTTTTAAATGAGGATTTTATTAAAATATTTGTCGATTTATTTAAACAAAATTGCTTTGATGAACTATAAAAAATTTAGTGAGAATTATAGTAGTAAAACATGCTATCGTTTTTAAATCTGATTTTGTACAGTTATAAATATCTGAAGTATTTAGGAGAAAATTAAAATCTCCATAAATAGTGCCGGATTTTTTAACGAACATACTGGGTTCGGGCCCTCTAACGAAAATTTAAAAATTGACGAAGTCAGGGATTTGGTTGGTCCAAATTTTAATTAAAATTTGTTCTAACTTATATGTATTTTATGATAGAATTTTCAAATATTTTTGAAAAAATGAGAACACAAAATTTTTTGGAACTTTTAAAATCCGTTCCGCGGTATGTTGTTCCGAAGCAAACCCTGATATCAATATAGAAAAATTTTTTTCTAAAGAGATCTTAGAAAAAAGACTCAACTACGAGGTATTTTTATGCATTTATAAACTTGTAAGAAATACTAAAATAAATTACAAAAATATATTTTTAATAATTAATTTAAAACAAAATTCCCCCCATTTTGTGTTGTTCTCATTTTCATTTCAATTTCAAATTGGTTTTTAGGTTTAATAATACAATTTTGATTGCCATTTAATTGTTGTTCTGTTTTTAATAAATTAACTTCTGAAGTTATTCCAACTCTACCAAATATTGAAAAATTTGTTCGTCGTAAAAGTTGAAGAAATTGATTTGATGGACTTTCCCTAAGTTGAAAATTATTTTACTTAAGTAATATTACGTTTATAAAAATTAATTTTTTAAAATAAAATATTAAAATGACATGGAATATATTTTCCCATTTTTTATTGTGAAGATTATCAGTTATTAAAGGTTTGACTTAAAATATAACGGAAATAGTTTTGGCATTAAATAGACTTTAGAATGTGGATATTACAAGAAGAGATAAGTACCAACTCTAATTATATACTTTATTAATTTCAAAAAATATTTTCATTCTTATTCCTTATTGAACTTTGTCAAAGTACTAAAAATTCAGTAACATTCCAAAAATACCTTAATCCTTCCTCCATTTTGCCAGGCCCATCAGAATGTATTCCACTAGCATTAGAATGATTATTTGTGTCACTTAGACAAGAATGGAATTCGTCACGGGGTGTACCAGCAGCACTTGTTTGTGTCCGCTGAACACGACTAGCCCTATCACGACTAATTTCTGTGCCTTAAAATTAAAAAAGTTTTTAAAAATAAATTAAAATTTTACGAAATCCAAATGTTAAACACAAAGCATTTCTAAATTTATTATTCAAAAAACAATAAGTAATTGGATTTGTGCAGGAAGATAAATATGTTAAGACGGTAATAAATGTATTTACTTCTGAATTCCAAATATTGAAAGTCTTTAAATTATGTTTAAGTTGTGATTAAATAATGTAAATACTCTTCTTTATTAACTACCTGAAACGTATCTTGTGCATTAAGTAAAAGCCACCAAATATAGGAAGGTGTCCAACAACAAAAGAATATTACAACAATTACAATTAACATTCTTATTAATCTAAAAAATAAAATTTTTAAATTAAAATTATTTATCTATATTTACAATATATTAAAATAAAATTAAGACAGAGTTTAGCAAAAGCTTAACCACCGGGCAGGATTCGAACCTGAGACAACGTTGATAATGCTCGTTCGGCCTTGCTCACACAAACCACTGAGCTACTGGGGCGAGTGGTAGATCCTTTTAGATAGCTTAATCCCCGCCTAACAAATAAGCGCTCATCCTTACAATTACTACCTTTGTTTTGCCAATGCCGTTCTTCCAGAATGTGTTGACCTTAATTCAGTAGTTGGATTAATTCTTTTAGTACTACATTCATTCCAATTACGGCCAACAGAAGAACTACAAGATTTTTGTGCTCTCATTATTTTTTTCTGATTTAAATCTTTCTTTTTTACCATCCAACTAGAAAGTCTTTAAAAATATATTTTTGTGTTTTTTAAATTAATTTTTATTTTTTATTAGGCCCTTAATAGCAGAGGTCGATCGGAAATGAAGAAGGTTTCGGAAATCGGAACTGTCGGAAATCGAAAATGGCTCCAAAGTCGGAACTCGGAAATCAGCTCAACTTTTTGGAAATCAGAATTCCGATATATAGACCTCTGTTTAATATCCCCTTTAAATTACATAAAAATATAAATTTAATTAAATAAACTTTAACTACATTTTTTAATTAAATAAATTAACTAGCCTTCCTCTTTTTACATTTTCCCGATTTATTGTAAAATTATTAGTTACACCATTACGAAAATTTTTTCGTTTTTCTAAACACGAATCATTAGAATTCATTAAAGGAGTTGCATTACTACTACCTTAAATTTCAAAATAATTATATTTAAAAATCAAATATTTATTTACTTTCTGTACCCGAAATAGCAGCAATATCCATCCTTATACCCGAACTAAGTGTATATATTACATTTCCATATCTTTTTTTTAAATTAAAAATTAATAATTTCACAATCATAAAAAACATACAAAACAGTCATAGCAACAAGTGGAACAATTAAAAGGGCTATAGTCATGTAAATTTGATACCCGAAATGTACAATAGGTTCAAATTTTGGGGCACAATTAAGTCCATTAAAATTATAACTTCGCTCTTCATACATAAAAAGCATAAAAACATTAGCAATAACTGAGACTAGCCTATGAAAGTATTTAAAATTTTCGAGAAATTGATGAAATTTTCTCGTTAATACAGAAATTATTTAAAAATTATTACAATAAATATTAATATTTATTTAATATTATTTAAGTCTTTTAAAATTTAAAATTAATTTTTGGTTATTTCACTCAAAATAAATTAATTAAAAAAATATTTTCATTACCAAACTAAACTAATCACAAACATTGCATGAGTTCTTGTATGCCATATTCTTGAATGTAAAGGTCGACATATTGCATAGTATCGCTCTAAAGCAATTGCTGCGAGTGTATAAGCAGAAGCTGAATGTAACGCGATTAAAGAAGGAGATCGAGACAAAATCCCGTTTCCCGGTTCCGTTTTCCTTACTTGTTGGAGTTGCCAGAATGGACCTTTATCAGGAATTCCCGGTTTTTAATAAGATAGTTTTTTTTCTGGTGAAAAACTGTATAAGAAACCCGAAAAACGAGGAATACAAATGAGAGGGTCGAAGGTTTAATTAATTATCCAATCCTCAAGATTCAATTTCTAATAAAAATTTTTATCGTTCATTTTAAATCCTCCCAATTTATAATAATCTTTAGTTATTTGTGTGATATAAATTTAAAATATAAATAATATACATATATTAATAACAAATTTAAAATACCTGTCACAACGACGGCTGAAAATAATTAAATAAATAAATTAAATAAATTTTTTATATTTCTTAATTTTATTTGAAAATAATAAAAAATCCGTTAACGATTATTTAAAAATTTATTAAAATATTTTTAAATTACTTACGTTGAAGATATGCCAAAAGTTTACACAATAAATCACCAAATACCCAACAATAAACTAACGAACTAACTAATGTTGGAGGCATACAAACAACACTTAATAATAAATCACTAAGGGCCAAATTTAGTAAATACAAATTAGTCACAGAACGCATAGATTGTTGCTGTAGAAGGAAAATTAATTTTAATATTTAAATATTTTTTTATTTTATATCAGGTATCGAAGAAATAAAATAAACAAATTTTATTTTAAATTTTAATTAAAATAAAAAAAAATTACCTGTAAAATAACAACAACGACAATAGAATTCCCAACAACAGAAAGACAAAAAATAATAGCAAATGTCAAAATCATCAAATAATTTTCTAAATTTGGATGGAAGACACAATCCTAAATAAATTATTTTTATCTAATATTAATTAAATAGTAATAATATTATTTCTTAAGTTAAAAGATTTAATTAAAAAAAGGGGGTTTTTTATTTAAAAAAGGGGGTTTTTTATTTTCTTCCTGGGGGTTTTCCTAGGCTTGGGTTTTCCCTGGACTACAGGGTTCCTGGACTCTTTAATTACAAGTGAATAAATAAATTTTAAATTTCTAGCAAATATTATAAATATACCTAATTTACAAAAACATCCAAAAATTTTTTTATTAAATAACACTAAAATCTTATAAAATTAAAAAATTTTAGTCGGATATACACAAAATATTTATTTTTCCTAAATTCATTTTTTGTAGCTTATTAATCACTAAAAAACTTTCTTCTTCCCCAAATCCCTCCCAACCTACATTTTTCTCTAATTGAAAATTATTATCAAAAAATAATTGTTGTTGTTGTTGTTTATCTTCAATATCTTCCAAAATATTTGTAGTTAAAGAAGAATAATCTTCTTCTTCAAAAGCAAATATTGTTTCATTCATTATTTGTTGGCTTTTATTATTTAAAATTAAAGGGAAGGAAGAATTGTTAAATAGTAAATGTTGTAAGTTTGAAGAAGAAATATTATTATTTAAATTAATTAAAGAGGAAGAATTTAAATTAGAGGAGGAGGAGGAAGGGGAAGAGGGAGAAGATCCATTTGCGCTATCAGGCAAAACTAATAAATTTAAAATATTTATTGCTGTATTTGTTAGTAATTCTTTTGCCATTTTTATTTTAAATTTAAAAAAAAGATCTAAATATATCCTTTATTTTTTAAGAATAAAAAGTTTTTTTTAAATAATTGGATAAATAAATAAATGAAATTAAGTTAAAAATAAAAAAAGATTTTATAAAAAAAATTTTTGGAGTATTCTTTATTAAAATAAGTTTAGATTAAAATGTAAAAATGTAACAAATAAATTTATATTAATTTATTTAAAATTTTTGAAAATTAAAAATAAATTAGAAAATATTATTTTTTTGATTTTATTGATAGGGGTAGCATATGTAGATTAGCCGTTAAAAATAGCTAATTTAAAAAAATTAGCCGACATAAAAATTCAATTCCCGATTTTCGGGAATCAGGATTCCCGACCCAAAAACGTCGGGAATTCACGATTTTCGGCAATCGGGTCGGCTAGATCCCTGGTACTTAGTAATACATGGTCTCAAGCAGGAATAGGATGGATTGAGAAAAAAAACCGGGTTCATGGTATTCCTCCCACCCTTTGTTTCTAGTCTCAGGATTTGAAGTTCGATAGTTATTTGAGATGGATATCTCAAAAAATTTTAATCCCAATAACTGAAATTTTTAAAGAAATAAATTAATTTCCAATTAAATTTAAATCATTAAATAAAAAATATTTGTTTCAACCCAAAATTAATTGGTATATATAAAATCAATCCAAAAAAAACTCTGATGATTATTTTAAAATAAAAGAGAAAAGTGATTTAATTTGTTAATTATTGGTGAAAATATTTGGGAAACAGCTGCTCTATAAAGATTAAGGCAAATTGATTTTAACGTGATTTATTGTAAGGAAAAAGAGAAAGAAAATTAAATAATTAAATTGTTTTAATTAAATATTAGAGAATTGTTTAAATTTTTTGAAAATAAACTATATAATAGCTCTATTAGCAAGAAAAGTCTGAAAAGTCATTACTAAAAATATTCATTTAATTTATTTAAACTAAAAAAGTTTGAAAAAATAAAAACAATGAATAGGAAATAAAAATGCGAAAATCACAAATAAATTTAATTTTTAACACATAAAAGTAGTCACAAGGTTCAAATAAAAAAACAACTAAAGCAATGCATTAAAATTGACGAATTTTTTATTTTTGAATTCTAAAATAAATTTAAAAACTTATTTTATAATTATAAATAGGTAAATTTATTTAAATTTTGGACAGAATTTAAATAAAAATAATTTTTTTTAGTTTTTATAAAATTTTTATAAAATACTTATTTTAATTGATAGCAGTGATGGATAATTTTGAATTTTAAAAAGCGGAAGTCGTAAGGCGGAAGAAAATCCATTTCTGATTGATAGCCTTTAAAGAATTCCAAATTTGGATTTCATGTAAAAATATTGTCTTTATTTAAGTTTATTTATTTTCTAATTTAATTTTTATTAAAATTTAAATAATTAAAGTTTTGAATGTTAAAAGGGCATTTTTGTTTGTGTAGAAAATAAGCGTTGGCGAGTGGAAATTAAATTTACTTTTTTTTTCTTTTTGCTGCTTTCCGTACTTACTTGGCGCTAAAAAGTAAAGAGGAAGAAAAAAAATATAAAAAAATTTAATATATAATACATTAAAAATAAATTTATTTTAAATAAAAAAAAATTTTTTTTAAGTTTTAAAAATTATTTTTAGAAAATTAGTTGAAAATAAATTTTTGAAAAATTAAATTAATTATTTCCTTAATAAAAAATTAAAAAAATATTTAAAAATATTTTTTTTTATTTTTTAATTTTTGGAAAATTTTCAAAAAATAAATATAAAAAAAGGAAAGAATATATTTTATATTTATTTTAATTTAAGAAATAATTAAAATTTTTATTTGTCTTCTAAATTGCCCAATTTTAATTAATTTTTAGTCGCTTGTTAAGGCGCTAAAAGGATATTGGCCCTCAATTGTTTTTTCTTTTATTTTCGTGCAGAAATATAACAAAAGTATTAAGTACATACTTTTGTTATTTTAATTTATTTATTAGAAAAATAAATAAATAAAAGACAAAGAAATTTTTTAAATTAATTTAATATTTAATAAAGTTAAATTTAAAAAATAATTGGTCGGAATATTTAAAGAAAAAATAATTAAATAAATAATTTTCAAACTTTAATTTCAAATTCAAATTATAACTTTGTTTATTAAAGTAAAGCAGCTGGGCTATAGCTATTTCTCTCCTTTAGCTAGTGCAAAAGGTTATTCGGCGGCTGGGAGCGAACCAGCATCTTCAGTAGACCGGACTGATGTGTTAGCCATTACACCACGCCGCCTACGCATAGCCTTAGGAATTAAATAGTTATATGCTTTACATTAATCTTTTATGAAATAATTTATTTTGAAAGTTCGAATACAATTTAAAAATTTAAGGAAAATTAATTTTAAATTATTTTGTAAAATCAAAAAGAGCAGCAGGGTTGAGAAAAAAGTCGAGTCAGGTTTCGGGTCGAAAAAAGGCCGACCCATCCCTGAAGAGCAGTGAACATTTTTTTAAAATAAAGAAAACAATAAATATTTGGTGATTTAAAAAAAGCAAAACAACAAAAAATAATATTAAATAACCAAACAACAAAATATTTATGTAAATTATTAAGTGCGAAAATTGTTTTTATTTATTTAAAAAGAAAATAAATTTTGAAAAAAGCAATAATGTTTTTATAAAATACCATTGTGAATTTTTTTGATAAAAATTAAATAAATATTCGAAATGAGAAAATATCTTTTTTAAATTTTTTTGGGTTTGTTTTGTTAGAAAATGCTAATTATTTTTATAATTTAATAGGAAAATGATTATGTATTTATAAAAAAATAGAAAAAAGGTTATATTTTTATTTTTTGTGTCTACAACGTCACTGCTATTAGCTTATAAATAAATATAGTTAATTGACGATAAAAGGACGACTAGTATTTTTTTTAATAAATTTTTAAAAGCATTTTGACAAAATTTAGTTCCATATTATATATAGTTAATTAAAAATTGTGTTTATATCAGATTACAGATTATTTCGACATAAATAACTTCCAATAATTAAAAATCTAAACAAAACTATTCTTCAGAGACAACAAAATTGTGTTTCAGTCTTTAAAAATCGAAGAAAGTAGGGATATTTTTTGAAATCAAAAAAAATAATAAAGCTTCAAATAAAAAAATATTCAAACAACAAAATTATAGTTATTTCTGGTAATTCTAAATAAAATTATAACTAGCTAAAACTTAGCTGGAAAATTGTTTTTTATACTACGGAGAGCATTATACTTTATATTTAATTAATTAATTTTTAAATAAACTAATTTAATCTTTTAAATAAAATTACCAAATCATAAAATATTTTTAAAAAATTTTGGTACTGAACTTTCATTTTTTTCAATTTTTTTTTAAAATTCAACTTTCAAAATTTTTTAAATTTAATTATAGAGGAGAAATAAGGTAATTTTAATATTTAAAAATAGTACACTAATTTTATTTAAATATATAAATTTTCTGATATTACTTTACTAAATCTTATAATTGCAATAATTTGACTTAATTTAAATTTAAAATTTATTCAAAAAATAAATTATTTTAAAAATAAACTTTGATTAATTAAAATGTCCAAAAAATTTAATTTTTATAATAATCGAATAAGATTTTTTAAAATTTAGACGTGAGAAAAAAATAAAGAAAAGAAAATATTTAGTCACGAAATTCTCTAGAAATAAAGAAAGATATATACTATATATAATATTGAACCTTTTTAGTTAATTGAATATTTAAATAGAAAATATTTAGTATATTTTATTTAAAATGAAAGAAATACTTTTGAATAAAAAAATAAATCCGGAAATAAAACACATTAGTAATGAAAAATGAGAGAATTATTTTGAAATAAAATTATGTTTAACAGTTAAACAGGCATAGTATTTATTATTTATCTCGATTAATGGATTTATGTGGATGTAATGAATATGTAGGGTAAAATAACATCGTTGCTTTCTGACTTGTATTATATAAAAAAATACAAGAAAATATAAAAAATCCTCATAATCTTCAAAAAAAAACACAAAAATATGTTAAAATCTTTTTTTAAAATATAAAAAGCCTTGATGTACATTATGCACTAATCTAGGAGCTCAGGGCGAAACTTTAATAAATATAATAATTTATATGTATTTAAAAATTATTTTGAATTTAATTTGACGTTAAAAATATGTTTATATTTATTATTTGGATTTGTTATTAATTTCTAGTCTTTTTTTTAAATATAAAAATATTTAAAGGTTAAATTCTTTAGGGAGATAATAAATATATATTTATTATAAAAAATATTATTATTTTTAAATAAAAGATTATGAAAAGAAAAAGAATAAAGAATTTGTTTTCGTTTAAAGATTAAAAAGAATATTATTTAAAAATAAAAAATGAATAATAATTAATTCTATAGAAACAAAGATTCCCATAAACAGATTTATATGTTCGGTTATCGAGACTGAGGTTTTGCTTGGCCACTAAAGTTTGATCTGTAATATGGAGAAATATGGAATAATGTCCCTCTTTCAAATAATCTCCATCTTCCTTTTAATAATAATTACTCTTGGTAATTATTTAAGCAAAAATTCTAATAAATTTTGTCAGAAAGAATATTTTCAATAATTATATAAAAATGAAGTAAAAAAGAATATTTATTAGTAATTAGTATTTATTTATAAAATACCAAATGTTTTTGAGAAAAAAATTTTTAGAAATTAAAACAAAAAAAACTAAAAAGAAAAAATATTATTAATTTATTATTATTATTTTTTTAAGCAAAAAACAAAAATATTTTAACATTTTTAGTTTTTGCTTGAAATATTTTCCAAAGTTTTTTTATTCTATATATTTAATTAAGCATAAAAATAAATAAAATAATTATTTAAAATTTTCTTTTTGACATTTTAATTTTTTAGAAAAAAAAATTAAATAATTAAATTATTAGTAAATGTCATAAAATAAAATGAACAAAATTTTGCGTGGGTTATATGATTTTTAAAATAATTATTAAACAAAATTTATTTTTATTATTTAAATAAAATTAAAAAATATAATTCATTATTTTCTTTAATAAAACGTTTTTTAAAAAAAGTTTCTCTCAAATAATAAAATAAAATTTAATTTTTTTTTCAAAAATTTCTGTCGAGAAATGACAAAAATTCATTCAAAATATACGATTCTTTTCAATTATTTAATAAATAATTTGTTACAAAAGAGAAAAAAAGTTATAATTTTTAGGCTTATATCTAAAAGATAAAAAAGCTTTGTTTAATTAACAATTTTTAAAATATTTGTAGTAACATCTTGATAACTTTGTAGTAATATTTTGATAAATTTTTTATGTAAAAATTGAAATCTGTTTTTGAAAAAGCATATGTTTAGCATAGGCCTCGTCCCACAAAATACGAGACACGAGATTCTCAAAAAAATACAAGAACGAAATAAAATGAGATACGAGATTTCACAAGATATGTGAATAAACCCACCTCTGGTATTTCTAGTATAAGTATCATAGTTTAAAAGAGAGGGGGGGGAGTATAAGTATGTAAATTAATAGTTTCTTTAAGAAATTAAACCTTGGTAGCGTGTAAGAAAAAATCCTACTAAACTCTCAGATTCTTCGACTTTCGGGGTAATTTTTCAATAAATAAGGAATAATCTATTAGTAATAAATTTTCCTAATTATTTATAATAAAAATTGTAAAATTAAAATAAATTATTTATTTATATCCATTCTCCTTTTGTTATCTTTTAATGTTTGGATTCTTGCCTTTGGCACAAAATTTTAATTTGCATTAATGCACATGAAACACTAAACATGGTTATTTTACTAAAAATAAAAAACACAAAAAATTTGGATGGAAAAATATTTAGGAAAAATAATTGGAAATTAATAAAGAAATTTAAATACCACATAACTGTTTAGATTATCCTCAGAAAATTGCGGTTATATTTTCAACGGTTATCTTGTTTATGTTTAATCCCACATAAACCAATTTAGTTTAAAATATTATTTAAAGTCCTTATTAAAATATTCTTAATTTTTTTTGAATAGAACTAATTGAAGAATCAAAAACGTGTTAAAATGTGTAGCAGAATTTAGTTAAATTTACTAAAGAATTTTAATTTTAATTAGTAAATATTGAATTTTTGTAGTAAAATTTTAACGTCAATTAATTCAATTTAAAAATAGATAAACTAAATTTAATTAAAATAAAAACATTATTTTTATATTTTGACAGACACTTTATAAAAAATTTGGCAACTTTTTTAGAACGTAAAATAAAAAAAAATTTTATTTTTATTTTATTTTCTTTATCCAATTTTCAATTAAATAAAATCCAAAGTAAGCAATCCATCAATTTTATATACAGCAATTGCCCCAAGAGAGTACAAAAAATATATTCTATATAGATCAAAAATTGAATTAATTCTTTAAAAAATATTTTTATTTTAAAAAGTTTTCTATGATGTTTGTGAATATGGGAAAAATTTTTGTAAATAGACTTTAATATAAAATTAATTTAAATTAAATATAATATTTGATTATGGAAAAAGTGGAGAAGACTTTTTTGTTAAATAATTAACAAAATTTTGTAAAAAAAATGTTATTAAAAAAATAATGTTCTAAAAATAGGAGATCACAAATGAGCTTTACTTTAATTCAAATTGTTTAGAACGCAGTTTATATTGTTTATATAGATAGTTGTTAAATTGGATTTATTGAGAGTAGAAATATCACATTAACATTGTAAGGATGATTCACCTAGCTAAGGATAATTCACCTATTTAAAACTCTTAGGGTAGGGGTTAAACGATCTAAAGAACATGCCACGGTAGCTCAAAGGTAGAGCACGTTTCCTAAACTTTTTAAAAGAATAATAAAATTACAAAATTAATTTAATTTCTAAATTTATTTTTCAAAAAAAATTGATCAAAAATATTGCAAAATTATAGAGAATCCGGAATGTAATTTCCATTTTTTGATGATAAAAAATTAAATCATTTAACTACTAGCATTAAACTATTTAATTTTCTCTCTCTTAATTATCAATTTCCATAAAAAGCCCTTCTCTTTTTTCATTTTTATTAATTTTTAAATACTATACTTTTATCTAAAAAATTTTACCTATAAATTCTTTTAAAATATTACTCCTTTTCCAAATAACATTTCAAATAATCTTTTAAAAATGAATTTAATACAAAAATTTATTTTATTTTTATTTATTTTTAATTCAAAAATTAATTGCTTTAATAAATTTACTAAACCAAAAAATTTAAATAAAATAAATAATCTTCCCGGTTTAGAATCTGAAATTAATTTTAACCATTATTCTGGTTAGTTTTGGACGAGAAAAAAAATAAATTTAAATTTTTTAAAGGTTATTTACAAGTCTCAAATTATCATTTTTTACATTACTGGTTTGTTGAATCACAAAATGATCCAGAAAATGATCCAATTGTTTTTAAATTTTTTTTATTTAAATTTAATTTTTAAAAAAGATTTTTTGGTTTAATGGAGGGCCAGGCTGTTCCTCTATGGATGGATTACTTAAAGAAATGGGCCCTTATTTAGTTAATCCAGATGGGCGTTCTTTAAGATTAAATAAATATTCTTGGAATAAAAATGCTTCTGTTGTTTATATTGAATCTCCAGTAGGTGTTGGGTATTCTTATTCTGAAGCTTGGTCTTTAATTGAAATTGATGATGAACAGGTTGAGAGAAATATAATCGGGATCCAGATTTTTAAATTAATTTTTAAAGACAGCCAAAGAAAATTATGAAGCACTTAAACAATTCTTCGAAATATACCCCTCATTTAGAAATAATTATTTATTTATAAGCGGTGAGTCTTATGCCGGTGTCTATGTTCCTTCACTTTGTGCTTTAATTGTTGATGGACAAAAAGAATATCCACTTAAATTAACTGTTAATTTTTGGAGAATTTAAATTAGAAAAAAATATTTTTTTGAAGGGAATGATGATTGGAAATGGGTATATGAATTCTAGATTAGACATTGATACAACTATTAAATTTGCATATGCACACGGGTTAGTTGATGAAAAATTATGGCAATTAATGAGAGAAGAATGTTGTAATGGATGTTTTGGTAATTGTTTTGAATTTAAAATTTTTTTATAATTATTTGACAAGATGGATGTGATTTAAGTATGATGTCTAATTATTTTTGTCAAAATAAGGTAAATATTTTTATAAATAATTTATTGAATTGAGAAAATACCTATTTTATTTATTTTGTTTTTTATTTAATAGAAAATTAAGCAAAATCTAATGTTTAATGACGGGTTAGAGCTTCAATTTTAAATTGGGAAGTCACTTCTTATATCCTGGAAGGATATAATAAAATCCTTCTTATATCCTTCTTATATCCTCTCTTCTCATATCCTGAAAGTCTCTGGCCTCTAACTTCAAATTATTTAATTTTGTTCAATTATCCAAGGATGATTCACCTAACAGCATTTAAAACGCTTAGGCGGAGTTAAACGATCTATATGAATAAAAGAGAAAGCATTAGTTGATGCCCCTTAGCTTAGTGCTCGAGCCCCTTTAAGTGGTGGGCAAGTCCAAGCGACCACGTCAGCGTCGTCGAAGGTTCGAATCTTGCCCGGTGGCTAAACTTTTGCTAAACTCTTTCTTAATGACTGGTTAAAGCCTTAGATTAGGGATCTCTTCTTATATCCTGGATTATTGAATTAAATATATAAAAAATTCTCGCCTTCTCTCAATTTTAAATTATTTCATTCTGTGTAATTAAAATTTACTTCTTAACATTATTTTATTATTTAAAAGGTCGAAGAAATTTTTGAATTTGTTTGGCTAGGTGGATTGAATCCTTATGATTTATATAGAGATTGTGGTATGTTAAAGTTTTTATTTCTAAAATCTCGTTTAATTTAGATGCATTCTCTCCTTTAAATTCACAAAAAATGCAAGCACTAAGACGTGGTCTACTTCCGACAAAAATAAATGAAAGAATTGTAGCGAAAAGTATTATGAACCGTAATACTCGAAGTGCTCGGTTTATTAATGTAATTAAATAATTATTAAATTAAAATCTAAGATAGCAGACTTTCTTTCAATTATTTATCCTTCAACCCTAAAAAGTAAAGCCTGGGAATTAAATAAAATCCGAATATTTTTTATTTAAATTAAATACCTTTAGATTCCTTTTTTAACTAAATTCTTAATTAAATAAAAATTAAAATTTAGAAGAATGATTTAAATAATGTAACAGAAGTCATTTCTAATGTTGCTACAGATCCAGGAATTCCTTGTTTAGATGGTAGGTTAAATTGATATATTTAGTTATCTTAATGGAAACTTTATTTTTTGATATATTTCTTTAAAATTTTTTTAATTGAATGATTAAAAATAGAATCATATTCAGATTCTGATGCAACAAGATATATGAATTTAAAGGAAGGTAAAATATTAGAATAAATAAAATATTAATATTTTTTAATATTTTCGAATTTTAAATCAGCTAACAATAAGCCACTTAAAATGTAATAATAATTACGGTTGGATTTTCGACCCGACGTTCGAGTCATTTTTTTCGGGCCTCATTTTTATCGGGCCGGCCCGATCAAGTCTTTTTCGGGCCAAAATTCGAGGCCCGACTCGATCTTTCGGACCGGGCCGGATCGGGCCCCCAACCCTAATAATAATACATATAGGAGCTAAAGTCATTAAGAGCTAAAGTTAAAACTAAAGTCTTATGTAATTTACAAACAATTTTATTACTAAAAATTATTTAAAAAGCTAATTCTGTTCTATGTATAATTATAAACTAAAAATAACCCTTTATTAAAATATTTATTAGTTCGGCAAGCACTTAACATTCCTTCACATTTGGGTAATTGGTCAATATGCAATGAGGATGTTAGCAATAATTATAATCAAATATATTGTATTATATATAATTTTTAAATAATTTTTAAAAAGTTTATTTAAAGCCGATATGTCCCCATTTGTTAAAAAAGTATTGGAAGCTAAAGTTAAAACACTTTTGTATTATGGAGATACAGATATGGCTTGCAATTTCCTTTTGGGTCAACAATTTGCCTCACAACTTGGATATAGAGTAATCAAAAATAATTTTTAGAATTTTGGTCGACGTCGGAATTTTATTCACCGAGACAAAAAATAAATTCAAAAATTAAGAATTCACTTTCAGAACTCACTTGAGAGAGTATACATCTAGTTTGTCTGAGATAATGTCTGAATCTATTCATTTAAAGTATGACGACCCTGACGGATTTTTGTCAAAAACTCCGACCCGAACCCCGAAGGCTCTACCCCGACAAACCCCGAGCCCGACATACTCAACACCGAAGGGTCGGGTTGCTACCCTAATTTAAAGTATTCGGCAAAATTTTATTTTGTTGATAAAGTATTTGGAAAATTTATGGGTATTTTATTTCTCGTTTAGCAAAATTCCGACGATTACTAAATTTTAATATTAAGTATATGTATAATTAGGTAATAATGGACGCAAAACCGTGGAGAGTTGATGGACAGATTGCCGGACTTAAAACAAAATATACAAATGGATTAACCTTTATTACAAGTTTTTAAAAAATTTAATTTTTATTTTAATTTTTAAATTTAAAGTTCGAGGCGCTGGACATATGGTTAAATTTAAACACCTCCCATTCGCCTCAAAAATATTTTTATTTTTAAAGGTACCGGAGTGGAGAGCCCCTCAAATATTTTACGCGATACAAAATTTTTTAAATTATGGGGAAGTTTAAATTAATTAAAAATTGTTATTTTTTTAATTTAAAAATTGTTATTAAAAATAGTTAAAAATATATCTTTTATTTATTTTCTAAAAAATATATAAATTCTAATTAATTATCAAAAATTACATATTTGCTTTTTTAAGCATTACCGAAGGCATTAATTTTGATTTTTCATTTGTGGGCTTAAAATAAAATTAAAAATAATTTTTTAATTAAAAAATACCTTCATTTCTGTAAATTCTAAATGTTCAATATTTGAAGAAATCTGAAAACAAATTAATTTTATTTTTAATTTTTAAGAATTTAATAAAGTTTAAGACAATATAGCGGTTTAGGATACCTTTAAAATTTATCAATTAAAAGAGGAATTGTCTAAGCTAGATGTGAGATACTCCTCATTTTAAGCTAAAATATTTTGCCAAAATGATTTTTAAAAGTGAGGTTAGAAACAAATAAAAATACATATATTACCCTTGTTGTAAACTCATAATCTTCAGGCACATCAAAGAAATTATCGTCACAGTAGACTTTCGAATCAGGAACGTGTGTAAGCCAATTAAGTTTTAGAATAAGACCTGAAAATTAAAAATTAAAAAAATATTTAATTAATACCAGTAATTGCTCCAACAACCCCAGCTAACAAAAGGGTTACAACAAGCCCACAAAGTTGGAAAAGTGCTTGTTGGGATTGGGTTCGTCCAGATTGAATAATTCTTGAACTAAAATTATAACCTATTAAATTTATTTAAAATTCCTTTGCCTTTCCGGATATGATCCATCTTTGTAGCAAAGAAGGACTATTGCACTAGCTAATACTCCAATTATTCCTATAAATTTCAACTAAATCATAATTTTAATTCACAATTACCGGGCATTGCATGTAAATTATTAACACCCCTTGTATCGCTAAATCCGCATTTCTTTTCGAGGATTGGCTAAAATTAAATTAAAAATTAATATCATTTTAAAAATATTTTACAGAAATAAAAATATATCCAAAAACAGCAACAGCCCCACTAACAACCCCTATAGCTAAAGCATCAAAAGGTGCCAAAAGAATATTGGCACAAGCACCCAAAGCAACTCCACCCGCTAATGGAGCATTAACCAAATGGCGAACGTTGAAATTCTTAAAAATATACCGTATTTCCTATATTAGAGCCCCATGGGGCTCTATTTTTCAACTATCCTCCAAGGTGGGGCTGTATTAAAGGGTGGGGCTCTAATTGAGGGTGGGGCTCTATTTTTCAACCCTCTTTTGAGATAAAATCCCATTTATTAAATATCCATTGCAACTAGAGTTAGGCCGGAGGGGTGGTCGATAAAACCGAAAAATATCGAACGAGGATCGAAATTTTCGATTTTTCACAAAAATTAAAATTTTATAAGCAATGAATAACAAAATAGTAGCAATAGTTCAATGAGAGTAAGATCAATTATGAAATTTTGGTAGATTTGGACGGGTTAAGGGAAATATTAGGGGACCAGTATTTGACATCGATGGATCAAAGATATAATAGTGGATTTTAAGGGATTATGGTGAATATAAGCGGATTAAGTTTATATTGAGAGATTTAGCGGGATTAAGAGGGATATTCTGGACTAGGGGTAATAGGAGGCATATGAAGTGATTTTGTTTGACGAGGCTCTGGAACAGGTTCCAGAACTGGAACTGAAGAAATTCAAAAAGCAGTTCCAGAACTAGAACTGGTATATCCCCATGATCCCTCCTCCTCCATGATCACGAATCATCGATATCCCTCTTTCTTTCCTTTACTCTCTTAATACATCTATAAAGTTATTTGGATATTTTTTCCTCCAAAATTTTTTAGGTGGGGCTGTATTTGGGGTGGGGCTCTAATTGAGGGTGGGGCTCTATTTTTCAACTAACCTCCAAAGTGGGGCTGTATTAGAGGGTGGGGCTCTAACAGAGGCTGGGGCTCTAATATAGGAAATACGGTAATTCAATTTAAAAATTAAGGGGAAATTGTGGATATTACCTCTTTTTTGTTGTAAAAAGAGGAAACAACAAAAGCAGTAATTGTACTACCAATTAAAGCTGTGTATGTATTTACAATTGAACGATTACGGGCATCTGCTCCAAATGCATTTGCAGCATTGAAAGAAGGCCAGAACACCCAGAGAAAGCCGGTAGCTAATTTTTAGATTATTTTAATTAAATTTTTGGGTTAAAATAAATTAAATAAACAAAATTAAAAGAATATTAATAACTCCGAGTTAATAATTTAAAAAAATAATTTTGTAATCAGGTAATTTCAAAAATTTTTTCGGATCAGGTTTCGGGTAACCCGTCCCAACCCTGTTATCTACTTACCAACAAAAGTAAATATATCAGAATGATAAACACTCCCCAAATGTTCGCTGTCTCTCCATGTTTTAGTAAAAAGTACTCGACCAGCAATTAATCCAAAAACAGCCCCAAAAACGTGAATAATCATCGAACTTAAATGAAAGAGATTGCTTGTAAATATTTTAATTTACCCTCCCAAGTCTTGAACTCCGAGTATTTTGACAACAATATATTCATTAAAGATCTGTAAAGAATTAAGAAATTCTCAAAAATATTTTTTTGAAAAATTACAGAAAATGGGGCTTCAATTAGAGCCATAAGCAAATATTGCATTGGAGACAATTTACCACATAAAGCTCCAAAAGAGATTAAAACAACTGCAGCTGTGTAGTCAGCATTAATTAAACTATAAATGTTAAAAACATTCAGAATTTTTAGTTTAATTCTCACTTTTGCAGATTAACGTAAAATTTTCCGTAAAGAGCAAATTCATCTGTTAAAAACCCTCGAACAAGTAGCTAAAATATATTTTATTGTTATGATTATTTCAATTAAAAACCAACAGCTAATTCTAATGTAAAAGCCGTTAACATCATCGACATTGTAAAAGATCCAAATCCATATCGACGAACAAAAACAACCAAAAACCCAAACCCAACAAGAAGTATTGAGTGAACATCTTGGAAATCTTCAAAAAATGAAAATTATTTCAAGAAAATAATTCAAAAACAAAAGATAAAAAATTTAATTAACGTATTTTTTTGAATAATTATCCTTGGTGAATAATTATACCCCTCAATAAATGGGATTATTATCCAAGTAGGGATAATTATTCGAATTTTGAAACTTGAAGGAGAGTAATTAACTTTTAAACATCTCAATAAAGTTAGTTAATTATTAAGGAGATTATTCGAGAGAGGGCATCTGAAAGAGGGCTTTTCAACACCCCAATAGAGTTTAGAGAGGGGTAATTATTCGAGAGATGGGCAATTAATGATAAAATATGGCAATTAAACACAAAATCAATTTTTAAACCAAAATACAAACCAGTTAATTTTTTCTGTGATTCTTGTATCAAAACAGAACCAATTGGAACTGATGAAGGAAGGGCATTAGGATCGTGTTGTGAAAATAGAGCAAATAAAACTAGGAAAAATAATTGGGCAATTCCAAGTAGAACACAAAATTGGTTGTGTGGTAGTTTAACTGTGGCCTAATAAATGTAAAAAATAAATATTAAAAAACTACTAAATTATTAACTCCCAAAAATATCTAAGTATATCATAGAGATTAATTTTTTCTTGTTTTTATTACATTAAAAGAATAAGATTTTTAATTATTAAATTTATTTTTAAAAAATTTGATATAGGATAATTAAATAATAAAATTAAATTTATTTTTAATTTTCTCTACCATCAAGAGCAAAACAAGCAAAAACATAGCCGGAGAGACTAAAATAAGCCCCTCAGTGAGATATGTAGAAAATGTTGCTTTCATTGTTTTATTTAATTTTTAAGGATTAGATTTAAAAAATAAAATTATTTAAAAGTCATCTATCTATAAGTTTATAAAGCAAAATTTTATAAAGGAAATTTCTTAAGCTTGTAAAGAATTTTTGTGTTTTAAACAACTCCAACAAATTCTCAAAAAGATAAATTTTAATTTTTGGTTTTTCTAAATTTATAAACAAAAAATAAATTAATTAAAAAATAATTATAAAATAGATAAAATAGCCAAGAATGTTAAACTATCAGTGATTTAAACTGGTTCAAATAACTACAAAAAAAAATTATTTGATGTGAGTAAAGTATGCGAATTAGAATAAAATATTTTTGTATTATTTTAATTTTAATTTTTATAAAAACAATTAATCGCCAAAAATTTTTTAATGTTAAAAAAAGCAAAAACAAGATTTAATAAAAAAAGGAAATATTTTGAATGTTTTATTAAATTGTTTACAATGTCACTCACTCACACATGCATGTTATCGAGAATATTAGTTGAAGGAGGGGAGGGAGGGGAAATCAAAGGGAAATTGACGGAAATGTTAACCCCAAAATGTCAACATTTTTATTTACAGCCGAGAAAGTGTTTTTCTACTTTCCCTTTGAGAATTGTGATATTTTGGATTCACAAATAAAGTGTGAAAGGACGTGTGTGACTATTTATTGATTCCTTCCTTTAGCGGTTGTTTTTAGTATTTCGCGTGTAGATCAAAGGAAGAATAAATTGAGAAATTAAATAAATACTTAACCAAAATATCAAATTTTGATGATTCACAGAAAATAAACAGAGGCACATTTGCCTATCTTAGAAGCTTTAATCAAGAGTAGAATAATAAAGAAACTCTTTAATAATTTCTCGAGAATATTTATTTATTCTCTTACCTTGATAGAATTTTGCTTTAAAAATTTTTAACTTCGCCTGCATCCCTGAAAAATTACTGTACATTTACCAACCGCTCTTATCGATATAAGGGTCCTTCGAATATGGTTGGTGGATCGGATAAAGTCTTTAAATAAAATTATCATTCATCTTCTTTATTTATCAGAGGAAGCTGTACTGATGGCTGAAAGGAGGAGGAAGGTTTGAATATTGCTGAGGTAACAGCTTTTGGTATTATCCCAAATGCCATTTTCTTTAAAATTTCAACTTTTGCTTTAATTGGATTAATTTCCTCAAAAATTGCTAAAATAATAAGTAAATAATTTATTTTTTAAGTGTTAAAAAAGCTAGGTACCTTCACTAAATTCTTGAGCATTTTCATAGCATTCTTCCCATCCTCCCCATTTTGGGAAAGTAATTAAATATTCTCCAGAAATTATTAAACTATGAACAGATTTTTCTTCAAAAATTTTATTATCTTTTTTAATTTGTAAATTATAAATTTGACTATATCCGTTACTATTAATTAAACGGATGGAACATTTGTTCTGTTTATCCACAATTTCATACTCTGTCAACTAAATTTGAATAAATTAATTTAGAGGAAATATTTTAAAGGAAAAAAGGTAGAATGATCTATTTTGAAATTTTGATTTTTACTCGAACTTATATCTACTAGCACCTACATGTTTGCCTAGTGTTATGTCCTACGGTCGGTAAAACCTAGTGACTAACAGAATAACACGTTTATCCGAATAGTAAATACCGTATTTACTCGATTAATTCCCCTCCCTCGAATAATTCCCCCTGCTACGGATGGGTTGAAAAAATAATTCCCCAGGGGAATTAATCGAGTAAATACGGTATGTACAAGAATAACTAAGGTGGCAAAAGGCAAGAATTATTAATGACAGGCGGGGACGGTCGGCACGACCGAGACTGATCTCTACTGACTCCTTTTGCCTCGTACTCGCCTCGTAGCCTCGTAATCGTACTTCTGCCGAATCCGAGTATAAATTTTGAAACGTTTATCCAACCACTAGTAAAATGCTATTTTTTTGTTTTTATCATTTTAAAAATTATTAAATTTCTTACATTTTCATAAATTTCTTTTAATAAATTAATTTTTGAAATATTTTTGCATAAACTTCCTTTCGATATATTTAAATAATATATTCTAGAATTTTCAACATTAATTAAATAATAATTTTTAAATAAATAAATATCAACATTTTCTACTTCCTTTCCATTCTCCAAAAATATACATTCATCTCCATTTAATTTAATTATCAAATTATTTTGAAATTTTGACAAAATATTATTTAAAAAATAAATTATAATTATTAAAATAATATTTTTAATAAATTTCATTTTTTGGTTGTTTTAATTAAAATAAATAATTTTTTAATTAATTAAACATTTATATAATAAAATTTATTTTTAAATTTTCGGAAGGAAATTAAGTGCATTCATAAGATAAAAATTTTAAAAAGGGGAAAATTTCTAAATTTTAATTTTAAATTTTTTATTGAGTGCACTTTTAATAAAGTGTATTTCCGTTTTATTGAATTAATTAATTTTTAAGGAGTTCTAAGCATGACCGGATATTGGAGTGCATATATAATTACTTTGTGTTCCACAAAACTGAAATTCCCAAATAAACAAAGGTGGAATAAATCTTGAAAATAACACGATTTCTATCAACATAAAGATACATACATCTCCAGCAGAAAGCGATTTAGAACCCCAAAAGCGATTTAAATGTAACTTATAAACTAAACTCATTATTTCGCAAGAATGAATTTTTCCTAGATTATGAGATGATAACTATTTTATAGCAAATTTCAAGGGCTTTCAAATAAGCCCAAAATAAAATTCTTAATTCACCTGTAAAGGGTCGAAAATATTTTTTAAAGACGTCTACCCCCCCCCCGGTTTTCCGTTGATTTTCGGGTTTCAAGATCACGATGATGGGAGTACCTATAAAACAAAGAAAACAAAGGTGATCTTATAATTATGGAACACTTTAAGTTCATTTTTTTGGTTATAAAATTTTTTTAAAGTTGCTACAAATTTGATTAGTTTAAAACATATTGTAAAATTAATAAAAGTTTTTCTTTTTAATTTATGTAAAAATTTCAAAGAATTTCGACACTTCTTCAATGATATATGATAAAAAATAGGGTGACCTTATAATTTTTGAACAGAGTGTAGTAAAAAATTTAACTAATTGTTCTAAATCAAATTATTAAACATATTTATTAAATAAAAATTTAAATATTTAATATCCAAATAATTTGTCTTTTAATTAAAACATGATTTTATAAAATTAAATCCAATCTTTATTCAACTTTTTTTCGTTTTTCATTTTCTTCATTTTTATTTTCAGCCTCCTCATTATTTCTTTTACGCTCATTAATAGTTAAATTTGTTGATAAAGATGTTGCTTAAAATATATTAAATTATTTAAATTTAAAAAAACCTTTATTTTTATTATTTTCTCAATTTTTACAAATTAACAAAAGTTTTTCTATTCTCATTTTTCTAGTATCTGTAAAAATAAATTTTTTTTAAATTATTTTTTTAAATTTTATTTAAATTAACAAAATTACGATTAGAAATATGATTAAGTAGATACGTTATACGACCGCAAACTAAGTGCTAACCGAACTTGATCGGTTATAACTTTTTGATGATTGATCCTATGCAAATAAATTTTATGTCATTGAAAGCCCTCGATAAAATTATATTTTTTCTAACCTATAGATCAAGTCTGATCACCATTTAAAAAGTTATAACTCAATAAATATGAAAAACATCTAATAACTGGACTTGTCGGGTTATAACTTTTTAAAGACTGATCAGATTTGATTCATTCTATTAGAAAAATATACAGGTTATCGAGGGCTTTTGAATTATATAAAATTCATTTGTATTGGATCAAGCATTAAAAAGTTAAAGTCGATCAAAATCGGTTGGCACTCTTTTTGCGGTGTCGCACTAATTAATTAAATAGCACTAATTAATTTCAAAAATAATTTATATAAATTTTCTTTAAATTAATCTCTCACTTTCTAAATGCTCCTTCCCTTCATTATTATAAATTTTATCTTCAAATAAATCCCAATTTTTATAAACACATTCCATCCCCTTTTTATTCTCATTTTTCCATAAAATATTTTTAAATTCTTCAATATTTTTAATTCTTTCATTAAAAATTTTTTCTTTTCCATTTAATTCAAAAATTTCTTTTCCAATATAAGTTATTTTATTTAATAAATTTAAACGATTTATATAAATATCTACTTTTTGGTTATTTATTAATTTTATTTTTCTATTTATTTCTTTTCGTTTTTTATTTATTTTTGATACTAAAATCATCCATTTTCTGCTTTTTTCTAACGATTCTGGTGACATTACTTCAAAATCCTCAAAAGAATCTTCTTCAGAACAAGATTCATTTTCTTTATTTTCATTCTCAAAAATTGATATTTTAATGTAATTTGGTTTGTTAGTTGAAATTTTTCTTTTAAAAGAATATATTTCTGGCTTTAAAAGAAAATAGTATTATACATATATTTAATTAATAAATTTTTTTAAATTTTAAATTAAATATTTGAATCACTAGAATTGTAAGGATGATTCATCCAGCAGCATTTAAAACGCTTAGGCGGGGGTTAAACGATAAGGGATAAAAGATAAAGCATTAGTCGATACCCCGGTAGCTCGGTGGTAGAGCACCTGCATTTGTGTGAGCGAGAGCGCCTAGCATTAACTGTCAGTAGGTCGCAAGCAATCCTGCCCGGTGGCTAAACTTTTGCTAAACTTTTTCTGAATCTCTACCTCCTACTCGATTCACAATTATTCATCCTAAATAATTATTATTAATCCTAAATACAGTCCTATCTCGATATCACGCCTTCCTTCAATCGCGCCACTTCCTTCAAGTCTCGACTTCAAAGGTGACATCATAACGAGATTCTATAAATTACTAAAATAATTACATACATTTATTCCAAATTTTTTCCCATTCCATAATCCAGTTACTTGTATTTCTATATTAAATTCATTCTCTCCTTCAGTTTCTGCCATTTTATTTTTACCTTTAATATCTTTTACTTTTTCCTCAAAAATATTTCCGATTTCTTCTTTGAATTTCTCAGATTGTGAAGAGGAAGCCTCCAATAATTTATTTTTATCTTCCATTTTCCCCCAACTTTTTGGAAATTTATTTAAAATAAATACATCACTTTCCTCATCTATTTCCTCTATTTTTATTGCAATTTCTTTTTTACACGAATTCCGACAAATATCTACTCCGAAACGTTCAGATGTTTTAAGGTTAATTAAATTTTTATATCCATCAACCTCCTTCCAATCCCCTATAATTGAAATTGCCAAACGAAATTTAGATTTATTTGTTAATTTTGATTTAATTATAGTCAACGAAATAATAAATATAAAAAAGGGAATGAAAATTTTCGTTAAATTAAATGGCATTTTCTGAAAAAAATTTCATTTATAAATTTTAAAATAAATAAAATCAACATAATAAATTAATATATTCTGGATAAAATAATTGAGTAAGATATATTTTCTTTAAAATAATGCCTGGCATTATTTCAATTTCTCTTTGAGGGGCATTATTTTAGAGATTGCAGATTATAGCTACATATAAGTTAGAGATTCTCAATCTCTCTTGTCTCTAAATTTTTTGAAAGATTCTTTATAAATTTCATCTTCACCTACATAAAACTTTCATTAAACTATCAATTTCTACATAAAACTTTCATTAAACTATCAATTTCTCGAAGAAAATGAAATGAGCTATCCACTAGGACCCCAAAAATAAACAAGTTAAATAATACATGAAATCTAACCTCAGATAATTTTCTATATACCTTCCCCTTTATTTATTATTTTTAAATTTAAACAAATCCTTAATTTCAAAATAAATAAAGAGGAAATAATTATTCAAAGTCTAGCTGGCTAAAAGGAAATTGCGAAAATATTTTTCAATTTATTAATAGTGCATGTAAAATTTTGAAATAGTCTGCGATAAATAATTTCATTAATTTTTATAATTAAGAAATGTGTTTATACATATATATTTACTTGATAAAGAAAATCTCCAAAAAGCTCCTCCCAGGACTTCGGTAATTCCCCAGAACAATGATAATTTCCCAGGACTCCGATAATTCTCCAAGACCCATCTAAACCTAGTTTTGTATCTCTATGACTATTTTAAATATCGAAAAGTCAAGATTCTTAAACATAAATATTTATGAATTTGAAAATAAAAAATTATAATATTTGTATAATAATTTTATAAACTTTTGGCCTATTATTTTTTAAATAAATTTTTATTTTAGAGAGGATGGACGGTTCTGTCTTGAAGTTTTTTAGTTTATTAAAATATATTTTCTATTAATTAGTTAAATGTTAATCAAAAAAGATTATTTATTTCTGTGAATGTAAATACTTGATTATAAATAAAAATATTTTAATTAAATTTATTTAATGTACATAAATAAAAGTGCATGTTTATTCATATGTATGACTTAAGTGCATCTCGGGATTTCCCTTTTAAGTTTCGATGGGATGTCCTAATGTGATTGTCTACATATGGACAGCATGTGTACATCAAATGATATTAATTATAAAATAATTCTTAATATAAAGAGTGGGGGATTCTCTTTTAAATTAAATTTAATTTAAAAATGTTTAATATTTTAATTTATTTTAATTTTTATTTTATTTTAAATCAAAGCTACGGTCTTCCAACTATTAAATTAAATGATGGTAAATTTTGAAAATTATTTTTAATATTTAAATCATCTTTGTTTGATTGACAGGAAAATATAGTAGAAATATATTTATCCGAAAAATTTGTCTTTTTTCATTTCCAAATTCCTCCTTTATTTTTAATTACTAATTTAAATATTTTAGTTAACAATTTAAATTTGTTTTCAAATCATTTATTTAATAATAATGGAGGTTATAAAAAGCTGCCGAGAAATTCTTCGATTGCTACGAACAATTTACATAATTCGTCAAAAAGTTTAAATTTAATAAGCAAAAATAAAGAAAGTTCAAAACAATTAATTAATAGTAAATTTAAATAGAATTTAAAATATAAAATTATATTTAAGAAATTCCTCGTGCTTTTCCTTCTTCTGATTATCCACATATTAATGGACACACTCCTTGGCAAGAATTACGTATCTTTTATTTAAATTTTATCAAAAATTAGGAGTTATTCTATCGTTTACAATACCACTGGTCCGATCCCTGTAGATAGGATAAATGTTGGAATCAAAGAGAGACTACTAATAATGATTTTTTGTCTTTTTTATAAGGCAAACACTGTATATTTTATAGATAAATTACGATGATTTTTCAATTTATTTTTTCCACTTTTTCATGTTGTGAGTAGACTGAAATTTTGATTTCGCTCATATCGAAACTCGTATTTCATAACGAGTAAAATTACGAATTTTGGTACGAACGTCAGAGCACTGGTTTTGAAACGAGCAAAAACCTATTTTAAACAAGTTGAGAATTAAAATTGTTGCCACTCTCTATCAGAAAATTTCTAATTATTTATACTATACCTAATTTAATTTTTAAAGCATCCTTAACTTCCGAAGTCGAAAATTTATATCACGGCACTGCATTACTAATAAAAATTGAGGATAAAGATAGTAATGAAGTAATTTATGAAAAAGCTGGAGAATTTATGGATTCATCTAATAGAGAAATGTTCTTTCAATTTTTGACACATTGCAATAAAGGAATGGCAAATGCAATTGGGAGGTTAATTAATAAAATTGTTAAGAGTGATTTAGGGGAAGGGGATAATTCTCAATTAATTTCCCGTCTTTGCTGTTGGACTTTAACTACATTTATTATTAATGCTTTGTTTTTGTTAAAAGAAAAAGATATTGTTAGAATTGGAAGTGGAATACATTTAATTGATGCTTTTGGATTTTTAAATAAATTATTGACTAAAAAGTAAGTGGATTTAATTAAACAAAAATTGTAAAATATCCATAATTTAATTAAAAACACAAGGAAATCCCTAGATTTTATACAAATAGTGCCGAAATAACCTTATTTTACATTCATTAAATTTTAGTGAAAAGAATTCGACTAAACTAACTAAAATTAAAAAAATACTCGAAATAATAGTTGTGAATATGAAGAAAATTTTTCCTTCTAAAACATTTTTCGATGGAGGTTATTCTTTCTTGGTTGATTGAAGAATTATAATTTAATAATTTTAATCATAAATAAAAAATTTTTTAAATCTTCTTTTGTAAATTTTTGTATTATTATAATAATTTAGTAGTATTTAATTATGGGACACGCCCACCTTGTCGCGCGGCCACCTTGTCGCAGAGCCATAACTTGCTAAAAAATTTCTGGCCCTTATCAATTTTGGTACCAATCTCTTTAGCTCGATGAGAGGAATCGTTTAATACTAAATTTGGAAAGATTCGGAAAACTTGAAGGATGTTATGGCTCTGCGACAAGGTGGCCGCGCGACAAGGTGGGCCGTACCCTTTAATTATATATATTCGATAAAATTAAATTGTAGTTCTGCTAGTATTGACTTTTTTGTGGAGATTTTACGTATACACCTGTGAATGGGATCCCGAAAATTGATATTTTTCAATATACTGATTACAGAGTTTTTTTAAAAATTGGGAATTTTTGGGAATTTTCTATCATATCTTTCCCAAAAATAATTGCTTCCCATCAATTAGGTGAAAGAAAATGTGAATTCTTTCTTGTAGACACCTTAAAATCAAAAGACTTTCTCCCGTGACGCTAAAAACGGATAAAATCTGACTTGCTGCACTTTAAAAATTCCCATAGAATTTTTTATTTTCTATGTCGGAATGGTCCCGTTACCCACTAACAACTTTATTTCTATAATTAAATTAACTTTTCTCTTAAAAACTTAATTATTAAATTTAATAAATGAGTATTTTTAATTTAATTTATGTTTATATTTTTAATAAAATAATGAAAATAAATTTTAAATATTGTTTATAACTAAAAAGTAAAGAAACACCTAATAGAATTTTAAAAAGTTCAACTGACGTGCTGTCCTTCTATATACTAATTTAATAATTTTTCTTAAAACTTTTTTTAAACAACTTTTGTTGTTTAAAACTGACCATAAATTAATGTAAAATATAAATATTTATTTAAAATTTTCTTTAACAAAAAGTTGATTTTATATAAATTGTAATAATTATTTCAATGAGCAACGATTATTTAATTTTTGAATAATTAAAAACTTTTTATTCAAATACATAAATAATTTAAATAAAATGAGTAATCAAACTGTTAGTTTGATTTTTAAATTAAAATAAATTAATATTTTTTAAAGTTATTCGACATTTATGGTGATCGAGGGCTTCCATTTGGATTAATTACCGTTAATGTTGTTAGAGTTGTTATTTCCACAGTTGGTGTTTTGCTTAATGCTGCTTTTGTCTTTGTTACAATTAAAATTAAGTTTGTACTTGTAAAAATACATATATCCTTTATACGTATTTATTTGTGTATGGCAGTCATTCCAGGGTCGAGACGAAATTTACAAACCCCAAAACCTGGACTTTTTTTCGATCCAAAATCCAAAACCCGACCTGACTAAAATTTTGAAACTTCGATCCGAAACTCTTCCCAACTTTTTTCTCAACACGATACATCCCTGATTCACATTACAATAAATTCACCCTCGTTCATTAAGTGCCGATGTTCCCAATTTCCTTTTAGTAATAAAATATTAATTTAATTCTAAATTAATAATTAATACAACAGAACATTAAATTCTCCATGTCATTTACTTCTTGCTTTTGATTGCTTTGTCTCTGCTTGGTATCAATTAAGTAGTTGGTTCTCGTTAACTGTTTTATTCAACACTGGAAACCAATTTGTTAATATTCGTTCTTGTTGTATAAAAATACTTCCTCCATTCCAAATTTGATATACATCTTCATTTAATGCTATATTTTTAATATCAGTAGATAGACTAATTAGTGTGTTATTCCCTATATGGTTTGTAAAAAAAATAAATTAAAGATTATTCTTACTTTCTAAATTTTAAGGTATAGTCAAAGACAAATTTCTAAAAAATTTTACCTTATCCCTATGCTCTTCTCATCCCTATTAAGCCCAGCAATTATTATCTACGCCCAATTTCAAATTGTTTATTCAGTACAAGAAACTCGGTACATATTATTGTTAAAATAATAATATAATAGAAATATTTTTAGACAAATAATTTGTGTCGCTTCAGAGTGCTCCTGGAGTTGGGCTGCCGATTTAACATATTTTTTATTTACTTCATTTTATGGTTTTACATTAATTAATTATTCAACTGTGTGGATTGTTTTAAAATATAGAACGTGGAAAGCAAACAATAATTTAGGTAAATAGCTTTTGTGCTGCAGAAAATCAGTACATGTTCAGCTCTTTGCCGTACTTATTTGGCCCCTCCCCTCCGTCAAATTTTTCTGTCAAATATGTTAAGGATGATCAGTCTGTTAACAGATTATAGAACTCGAATGACACAAAAATCAAACACCGGTCTTAACTCTGGGCCGAGATACAGACTCACGAAAGTTGAGAAATCACAGAGTCGGCCAAGCTGACCAATCTTTGCTACCTAAAATTTTCAATTTTATACATAAAAAGTTTGTAGTATCAATTTTTAGTATCTTCCTATGTGTGGACACAACGAATTTTGAAGACATTATTCGTTATTATGTTATTTAATTTTGTTGGTCTATTTATGAATAGTATTGCAAGAATTGTTGTTCCGCGTTTTAATTTGGATATTACAGATAAAACTTTAATAATCTATTCATTAAGCTGTTTAACTAGCTTTGTTATGTCTTCGAATGCTCCAATTCTCTTCTTTTTTAATTAAGTTTTATTTTAAATTTTTTGGGGGAAATATTTAAATTTTATTTATTTTTTTCATTTTTATTCAGGAATACAGAAAAGCATTTCTGGTTGCTTTTAAAATTAAAACTTCAATTAACAAAGCAACTAATGTTGTTACAGCTGTTAATCCTAACAATCAAAAATTGGTGGCAAACAACTTTTCTACTAATAATTTAAGACCAAATCGGATAAAATAAATTTTTCTTAAATTTTAATTTTTTTTATTTTATTCTTGAAATATTCCAAAAATTTTATCTTTTTTATTTCAACGTTAAATTCAATTTTTGCTTTTATTTAATTGTTTTACGGAAAATAATTACCCCCTTTAGTAAGTACCCCTCTTTTTCCTACACAATTTTTAAAAATATTGAAAAAATCGTTGTAATTTTTAATTATTTAAACATTTTAATACATAATATCTAAAAATAAATCGAGTTCCTCCTCGATCTCTTGAGATATACCCCAAATTTAGCACCTCCTCTTGATTAATTACCCCCTACAGCGATAGGTCGAAACAATAAATTATTCGAGCATTTTCGGTAACCGAATTTAGATAGCACATCTCTCCTAGTTTATATGTACAATCGAGTCCCGACAGACCGAAGAATTATTATATTTTAATTTTATCAAAAATATAGATATAATTAATAAATTGATGGGGATATTATAAATAGTATTTTTTTTATAAAATTTCCTTTATTTTGTTTTTTGACATCCATTTGTTGCTTTTTTAATTCCATTCGGTGAAACCAATTTTCTGTTTTTATTACTTATAAAATCATCTTTTTTATCTTCCTCTTTTGAAATATTTAAATAAATATCTTCACTAACTTCAATTCCATTCTCAATATGTTCATTTATATTATTTTCTTTAGAAGTTTTCTTAAATAATTAACAAAAATTGTCTGATTTTTATTTTATATAATTAGAATTAGAGACCGGACGGTACTGTACTATCGACGGTATTTTCGGTATTTATTAGTATTCCGTACTTATATGAGGAGGTAGTTACAGAGAAACAAAGCAGAAATGAACTGCAAATTTTTGTTTTAAAAATTAATTTTTCATAACTACAAAATTATGTAGATCTCTCTAGTATTATTACCAATATTGTAACCTCAAAATTTTATCCCTAATTATCACTCACCATTTCATTATTAGCCCCCTTTTTGTTTTTATTGTTTAATAAGCTTTGGACGAATTGAATAGTAAAATTGTGCATTCTAGGCTTATTTTTCTCGAAAGTTTCCAAAGCACTTTCACGGCTAACTTTCCATTCAAACATTCTTTGATAACAGGGACGGACATATTTAACACGTCCAATGTCAGAAACAAATTTTAAAGCAATTGGAATTATTGGTTCCCATTTAGCTTGTAAAGCTACCAAAATCCATTGACATTTACTTGAAATTAGTTTAAATAAATATAACGATTATTTGTTTATAATTATAAAATTGGAGATAAGAGAATTAATTTTAAATTATTTAGAAAAATAATCAAAACATACACATCACAATTTCCTGTAGTATTTAATGAATATTTCTTTTCCATAATTTCAATACGTTCATGCTAAATTAATAAAAATAAAATAATTTTTATTTAAATTTTAGTAATTAATTATTTCGATTAAAAAAATTATTTTGATACTAAAAGATTTGACTCTTTTACTTTAGTCTGACCCGGTTTTAGTTTAGGTTTTTCTCTGAACTTTCAGGTTACTTTTCCAAATTAAATTACAAGCCTTTTCTTTAAATCAAGTTTATTTATTTAAAATAAAGTATAAGATAATTAAGGTAATTGAGTAAAATGTGAGGGGTGTTTATATAGTCAAGAACTGAAGGCGGTGATTTGAATAAAATATATTTTAGATAGATAAAGAAGGGAAAGTAATAAAATACAATATTAAACAAAGATACTTTTAAGTTAAATATAAGCCAGAAGGAAATGTTTAAGTTGATGAAAGGGAAAGGAAAGATTATTTTTAAATACACAAAGAAAAGATTATTTTTAATGAGAAAGTAAGTTTAATATTTGAGTTGGGGAAATTTAGAAAGGATGAAAATATTTAAATAAATGTCAATCAAATTTAGAAAAAGTATATTTAATTTAAAAAATTATAAATCATTTTAAAAATGACAAATCAAGGATCCAACACTCCTCCCTCCTTCAAATAAGCAACCACGGTAGAATTTTTGTTGACGGCGGTTTCCACCTCCATCCCACGGAATGGGCTATATCGATCATTAAAACCTCTCGCGATCTAACTGACGCAAGATGTAACATTGACTTCAGATTCAGCCTCACCCTCATTATTGGTGGAAAGAGCTCTAAAAAATTTTTTTCTAGTTTATTTTCTATCTCCTCGCAACGAGGGTTAATTTTTAACAATTTCTTTAATTTCCTCCTCTTGAATTACTTCAGAAGGTTATTGTTTTTCTTTTGTTGTTAGTGGAATTAGTTGTTGTTTTTTTTCATCCATCTCCTCCCTCTCCAATAGTAGTGTTGTTTCCCAAAATTTGATGAATTTCCATTGTAGTCATTTTAAATGATGAAGTTACATTTTTTTTTAAATTAAGACAACAATAATTAGATGAAAAAGCAGTGAACAATAAATAATAGTAAAGGAGAATAAATGGAAAAAATATTAAATATGGTGGGGAGATATATACATAAGATTTTAAAAGAATTTTCTCAACCTAAAAGGTTGGTTTATTTCGGAGACCGCCTCTGCGGATCCTCATTTGGTCCCTACGTGAAATACGTTCTGAACCATATTTATCTTCTATTCTATATAGATTCTCTCCGGATTGCTCTTTCAGAGGAAGTGAGCAATTTATTAATTTTTGCAGATTATTTTTTAATTTATCACTATTTATTAATTCTCCCGTCATTAAATTAAGTAAGAGGGGCATCTTCTTGAGAGATTCTCTTCCGATTATCACACTATATGTTCCATTGTTACTCAACACATCATTCACCACTGTTAATTTTGTTTTAATTGGAATATTTGCTATTTTTAATATTATCTCAGATTGACCAATAGCGGGTATAACTTTATTTCCAATTCCTATAACTCCGCTGCAATCTGGTTGATATAAGTCTGTAATTCCTAATCTTTTAGCTGTTTTATTACCAACTAAAGAAATATGAGCTCCTGTATCCAAAAGACAAATTAATTTTTGTCCATTAATTTCTACAAGTACACGCATATTCTCATCGCATTGATGGCCAGCTGTCATTACTTCAACTAACTTATTTTTAGGATTTTCTTCTCCAAAGTTTTGATAGGGCCATCTGTCTCCAATCGGCACTAATTTATCTTTATTTGCCGTTTTTATTTTAAAATTATTTAATTTAAATTTCTCAATCTTTTTGGCTCCTTTCTTAGTAGAGGTGTATTGGTAAATTCTCTCGCCAATATTTAGATAGCCAATTGTTTGGGCCAATATTGCTGGCAATACAAATTTTAGTGTAACGTAGCAACAGAAAGCAAATACCACAACTATGTTAATTGGAAAAATACCTCCAGTAAGAAAAGCAAAAAGGCATTTAGCAATAATGTTGCTAGCAAATGCTTCTGATCTTGAACTGGGATTCTGCCATACAGAACTTTTACTCGTAAGTTTTATAATTTCGTGTGTTAATTCTGCTGTTGGCTGCCAGTTCGGATAATTTGTATCTGGAAACTTCCATAAAGATTTTGGAGCATCATTTAAGCAAATCATTGGATTATGAGCTAACGTTCCACTAAAAACTGATAATAAGGCAAGTAAAGCAAGGAGAAGTGGACTAATAACTCTAATAGACGGACTTGATCTACGCTCAGATTTAACACGTCTACTACCAGAAGATCTACTACTGTCTCTCGAATTAGAGGTATATTGATTGCTATTATTATAATTTCTGTAATTATTACGTCTTTGACCTTCATATTGCTCATAATTGTTCTGGCGGTAATTCGAATTACTGTAATGATTTCTATGGCCTCCATTGTAATTGGGATTGTAATTTGATCTGTTCTGATAATATCTCTGTCTATTATCATAATTTCTCGCATTGTAGTTATTTCGTGGATTGTAATTATTGTTTCTTCTATAGTTTCTATTAAAGTTTCCCTGATTCTCAGGACAGTTACGTGCTATATGACCTGGACGCCTACAACAATAACAGGTAATAACATCAGGTTTATTTTTATTAATTGTTAAAGCATCTACTTTTTCGGCGAGATCTGCACTGGAAATATTCGCACGTTTTCTATCACCCAGCAAAAGCTCAAAGTGCAGAGCCAATTCATAAGCCGAAACATACTCCGTAGGCCTTTGTGCTTTAACCTGAAATTGTAGCTCTGGCGTTATACGGTCCAGGAATTCCTCTAAAAGCCTCTTTTTAATGGTTTGCTCATTTTCTCCGCTTAAAGCAGCTCTAACTGCTTCATTCAGTCTATTCGAAAAATCAAAGACAGGTTCACCTGGCGCTTGCTTACAAATAGACAAGGCCTGTCTTGCTATAATTTTGGTATTCCCATTTTCAAAGCGAGTTTTCAAAAATTGAATCGCTTCTTCCAACGTATTTGGAGCGGGATCTATCGAATCATATAAAGTCCTTGCCTGGCCATCCAAACAGAATCTTAAACGAGCTAGTTTTTGTGCCTCCGTCAATGGGGTAGTCAGCAGCGTTAAAATGTCTTTGAATTTTTCTATCCATTTCGAGAATGAAATGGACGGATTTCCATCGTAATGAGGGATAAAACTCCCATTATTAAGGAAAGGATCCCCAACTTTCACTTCTAGATCGATTTTAGGTTCATCTTCCGATTGGTTTTCCTCAAAATTTATATTTTGGTTTAATTTTTCTTTAACAAAATTTTCCATAGTTTTTAAAGAATTTCGGAGCTTAGTAACCGATCCTTTTGTTCCAGAAAGTCCATTTTTATTAGTTTTTACATTTTCTTCTACAACATTTAATCTTTCTTCAAATTGACGAAAAGAGCGAGCGACTGTTTTCTCAAAAGATCTCAGTCGATTAAGTAACGGCTGGAAGTTTGTTCGCTCCGTTGCAGAAAAATAAACATCATCAAAGTCCGATCCAGACATTTTAAATTAAATTAAATGGATAAATTAAATAAAAAGGATGTTTAAATTAAATTTTAAATAAAAGCTGATTAATTTAAATGAAAAAAATAAAAAGGGGTATATAAATTTAAACAAAAGATTTTTTTTTCAGATCTCCTCGCACACAGCTCAAGGGACAGTTTCAACTTCTCAAATATCAAATCCTCGCACACAGCTCAAGGAACTAAAAAATTCTCTCTTTTTTTCAAAAATTGGCCTCGCACACAGCTCAAGGCTACCAATTAATTTCTTTAAGTCGGCCTCGCACACAGCTCAAGGCTCAATATATATCTTCAATTTATAAGCCCGCACTAAGCCCAGGCAATATTTATTTCCAATTTGAAGCCCGCACTTAGCTCAGGCAATTTTAACTTTTAAAGTGCACTGGTTTCGGTTCGCACACAGCTCAAACCTCTTTCTTCTTTTCAAGAGAACAAAAAATCTGCTAGGCAGATAAAAATTTTACAAATTAAAATTAAAAAAATTTTTTTCAAAACAAAACTCCAAACTTATTGTTTGGGCAAGAGAAATGGTTATCTAGTGGCCAGTTAGAAACCAAATCTCTTTCCCGGGTCGTGGCACCAGTAAAAGATTTGACTCTTTTACTTTAGTCTGACCCGGTTTTAGTTTAGGTTTTTCTCTGAACTTTCAGGTTACTTTTCCAAATTAAATTACAAGCCTTTTCTTTAAATCAAGTTTATTTATTTAAAATAAAGTATAAGATAATTAAGGTAATTGAGTAAAATGTGAGGGGTGTTTATATAGTCAAGAACTGAAGGCGGTGATTTGAATAAAATATATTTTAGATAGATAAAGAAGGGAAAGTAATAAAATACAATATTAAACAAAGATACTTTTAAGTTAAATATAAGCCAGAAGGAAATGTTTAAGTTGATGAAAGGGAAAGGAAAGATTATTTTTAAATACACAAAGAAAAGATTATTTTTAATGAGAAAGTAAGTTTAATATTTGAGTTGGGGAAATTTAGAAAGGATGAAAATATTTAAATAAATGTCAATCAAATTTAGAAAAAGTATATTTAATTTAAAAAATTATAAATCATTTTAAAAATGACAAATCAAGGATCCAACAGATACTTAACAAGAATATTTAAAATAATTACATTAAATGAATGAGCACTTCCACTTGATATATCCTTAATTTAAAAATAATATTAAGAGTTAATTAAGTTAATTACTTACAACATCCAAAAGACTGAAAAATTTTTCTTTTTGTGCAGTCATCATTTCTTCGAATTCAATAGCTCCAAGTTCATTTATTTCTTTATCAGAACCATATAGCCATTTATTGGCAAGGGATTTACAAATTTTTAATAAAGTTTCGTCAAAACTATAACAATTTTTTAAAATTAATTTCTAAATTTTTAAAAACGTCGGCTTTTGAGGAGGCATTCCTGGCCTATGTAACCAGTTATTCCAATTAATTGAATCCAAAATTGAACGTTTGTCATCATAAAATTCGTAGAGATACTAAAATAGTTAGAACTTTAGAAATTTCGAGAATAAATAAATAAATTTGTGGTATTATTCGATTATCTCCTCCCTAATTTTTCTTTACATTTGATAATAAACTTTTTATGAAGTTTAGGAATTTTTTGCTGAAAAAGCCCCTAAATAATGAAAAAAATAGGGGAAATGCTCTTCTTTGAACAAAAATTCCTAATTTTGTTCAGAATCATCGAATCAGATTTTGGTGTCATTCAGAAAAAGTTTAGCAAAGGTTTAGCCACCGGGCAGGATTCACCTGCGACAACACTTAAAGTGCTCGCTCGGCCTTGCTTCCACAAAATCAGGTACCAAGGAGGTAAAGGGGCATCGACTAATATTTTTCTCATTTCCTTTTTAAATCATTTAACCCCCGCTGCTCTATGTGAATTATCCTTACAATTCGACTCTGCTAGACAAATTATTCTGAGAATAAGAAAAGATAATCTGATATGTAGTACCATAAATTTATTTTTTTAATTAATTTTTAATAATTTTCAAAAATATAATTAAATAAATTATTTACATCCATCCATTCATCTGTAACAATTGATTTATAAGCAAATTTGTTAATATAACTTCGAAGGAATTGTTCAAAACGAGGCGGATCTCCTAACCGCTGTTCTAATAATAAAAGTAAAGCCGCACCTTTTTGGTAGGGAATTGGACTGAAAATTTTAAATTTAAATTTTGGAATCATCTTTCTAAAATAATTTATTTAAAATTCCAATTTTTTACCTAAAAACATCATCAGCACATTGCCCATCTAAAGGAACAATTAAACGAGTAAATGGATGTTCGGGATGAAATGTTTCGTAAATACACATCCGTAAATGATCTTCCCATCCAGATAAATGCATAAAAAGACGAAATTGTTCTCCAAATATTTTCCCAAGAATTTTATATTCAACAAATTCAGTAAATCCTTCATTTAACCTTATAATAAAATATTTATTTTTATAATTAAAATTATGGTTGGAAACAAACGGCTAACCGAACCGAACCGAAAAACGTGGGTACCGGGTAATAACGGATTGTGTCCAGCCTTAATTAAATATTTATAATTACCAAAAATGTTCCCAAGAAGCATTTGTAACTAAATTTCCAGTCCAGCTATGAGCTATTTCATGGGCAACAACGGTTGTTAATGAACGATCTCCAGCAATTATTGTTGGTGTTACAAAAGTCATACACGGATTTTCCATTCCCCCAAATGAGAAAAATGGAGGTAAAACGATCATATCAAAACTTTATTAAAATATAAAATTATAATTTGTATATTTTAAAAGCTTGGAATCCTGCCTGGGATTACTCAGTTCGGGTTTAACAAAAAATATTTTTACCGTCCCCAACGATATTCCCCCATTAATTCTGTTGCTATTTCCAACATTTTTTCAGTCTCCTCAAATTCTCTATGAGCAATATCCACCATTGAAGGTTCTGCCCATACAGCACACCTTTTACTTATATCACGTTTGACTAAAGCGCCAACAACTATAGCAAATAAATAGGAGGGAATTGGTACTTTCTTAAAATTTAATAAATTAATTTAAAGATATGTACAGGTAATTATGATTTATTTGAGAGAAATTAAATATGTATGTTTTCAAAATATCGTGATATATTACAATGATATCCTCTATCAAAATTAAATTATTCATAAACACACCTGTAAAAAATTAAATTGAACAAATTGTTCACTTCCATTTATTTCTCGATTATTTACTGGACGTCCCTCATCTTCTAATAAAACGGCACTCATTAAACATTGCATTCCTTTCGGGACAGTTATATTAGCCGTATATGTTTGTTTAACTGCTGGAGTATCCATACAGGGAACGAGTGATTTGGCATGTATTTGTTGGCATTGACTATATAAAAATGGATGTGTACGGTCTGCCGTTAATGATGACTCTACAAATTGAAGAGCTGAAGCTGAACTTGAAGTTGAATATTGAAATTCGATTTTGCTAAAAAAAAGGAGGGGTATTCAGTTGTTTCTCTCTAAGAACTAATTATTTTCTAATTTTAAAATTTACCCTTTCTGCCCGGAACTAAATTGTCCATCTATCAATAAATATTTTCCAACAAGTGAAATTTCTCCACTTCGAGCTTTACATTTTTTTCCATTCAATTTAATTGAACAAATAGTTTGATCGCTAATATCAAGAATCTTTTGAGATAATTTTTTAAAATTATTTCTTTATTATAATCCCTTACAATTTTGTCAGTATCCTTCAAAACTCTATAATTTAATATAGCAGCACCAACAATTCTTGTCCTTTCAAAATCAACAAACCAATCAACTAAAATATTTAAAAAGTTTAAAATTATAATTAAAATTAAACAATTGATATTTTCTATAGTAATTTCATTGAAGTTTGCACAAGTATTTGGATCACGTATCTGAACCATTTTTGAAAATAAATAAAATTAAATACTATAATTTATAAATAGGTGATCTAAAAATTTAAGTTAATATTTTTTTATTATTTTAAAGTTTGCGGCAAATTGGCGGCAAATTACATTTTGATATATCTTTTTTTAATTTTTAATCTTCTTTTTCTGGATTCCCAGCACTCTAGGAATTTTTTTTGATATCAAAGTTGTCTTTAAATTTCATAATTTAGCTCTTTGGATAAAAGTCGGTCTGGATTCAAGGCTATGACTTTGTTATATTTTTATTTAACCTCTGAATGTTAAATAAAAATAATTTTGGCAAATATAAAATTATTGGGTAAAATTTTCAAAAATGAAATTATAAGACTAGTCAATCATTCATTTACCTAATCTTCTTGGCAGTTTCTAAATTATCTTTCAAAATTCAACACAATTTATATACAAAAATTTAATTACTAATTTTTTATAGTAACAAACATAAATTATCTATATTAGTAAAAAATTGTTCTGATAAATTAATTAAATAGATCATCGTTATCATTGCTATTCACGTGAATATTTATTACACGAGTTTTTGATTACGTTTAGCAACGAAATAAATTAGCTTGGGAATTTTTTGATTGACTGGCCATTTTATATATTTAATAGTGATAACAAAGTCCAAAAATGGATGGAAGGAAATAAATACAAAATGTGCCTCCACATGGTTATATGGAGGCACATTTTGTATTTGCCTCCACATGGTATAATATATACATATTTATAATTTAAAAGAATTTAAATAAAATTAAAATAAATTAATAGTAAGAGTAAACTGTAAAATCCTAATCAGAAAATTCGTTAGTTAACTAAACTTTTATAGAATTAATACTAAACTGTAAATTCGATTATGAGAGAATTAATAGAGAATTTGCAGAATTTGCTTTGAACAAGTGTTCGACTTTTTTCACTTTTCATGTCACTTTTAGTTACTTAATCGAATTTAAAATTAGAATTCATTTAAGATTGTTTAGTTTTTTGAAGAATTACTAAAAAAGAGAATTAAAAAATTAAGTCTTTTGTAATAAATGTTGGGAAAAT